GCATTCCCTGAATTCATATGAAACGAGTTATTTTCTCAGTACCCTTTAATTGAACAGAGTGTAATAATGAAACACCAAACATCTCATGCTATTTTTCATTAAATATAAAAAAAGAAATCTGTTCAGTTTTTTTAACAACTCCAATAATTTATGGCTTGTGTTAGAAGAATAGATCAATCAAAATGAATATAAAAATATTTTTTGAAATAGTAAAAAACTTCACTTCATTTCATGATAACTTTACACAAAAGTGGGATGACAGCATGTGTCATATGACTGAAGTGTTAGCCTTCGAAAACTTCCTCACTTCTAGACCACTTTGATTACAGAAATCGATGAGATTTTTGATTTTCAAAATAAGTGCAAATAATTACAGTAGAAATAGAAAGGGGAAAGAATTAACCTACTCTTTAGTCCTTCATTTGCGAACAAAATTTTTATTGCTCCAATCTCACTTGATTTTTGATTCATTAAATGGGAACAATAATCTGACCGTTTCAACAAATGTGTTTTACCATAGTAATAACAGGACGATAAGATCACTATATCTGATAATAATAATTATAAAAATGATAATTTACTGATTTGAATCACTCAACATCTATAATCTATAATGTGTAGATTAAATAATTGCATTATACAAGATGCGTTGATTACTTTGACAAAATTTATAAATGCCACGTGTCATTCTTATAATGTGTTGAATGATTACAGTAAACAAACTGTTAAGATGCGAAATAATTTTATTTATTATTTCAAATGCTTTCTGTTTCTGTTGGTCAATCCATTTGTTCATCATTTTCTTTTTAATGTTAGTTGATTGTTGAAATTTCATTCTTTGGAGTTATTGTTTATATTTACTGCATAATATGACAGGAATGGCTTAAACTATGTTAGAAAAAAGAAGTGAAAAAAGAAATCTTAAAGCGATAGAAGTATTACATATAAGTATTTTGACATGATTTGTATTAGAGACTGTTTTGAATCAATTAAAAGCAAATTGAAAATGAGATTATATTAAAATAAAAATTGAGGTAAGTATAGAATACTTCATTAAATATTGTTATATCAATCTTTCCTGAATAAGAATATTCTAATTTAAACTAAAACGAAATTCTACTTGTTTAGCTTGTGAAATATTTTTGAAATAGTTTCCTTCTGTTTCAATATTTTTCACTGTACTAAGTTGGGCTAACAAAAATAACTAACTGATGTCAAACTTAAGTTTATTTTCAAGAATGGCTCCTCTTGAAATTTCTATCTGCTTGTCTGCTGCTAATATATTTTCCGATTACACTGACACTTTACTTCCAAAATACTTCTCAAACCTCAACTTTAAGATTTTCATTATCCTTTTTAAATATATGTATTTCATTGTCGCTCCTTTAAATACATATTTATTTGTATGTTTGCTCTAATTTTTTTCAAATTTGATGCAACCTTGAAATGGATCTTGCTTTTAAATTCATTTCCAACCGATATTAAATTCAAAAAACATGCGACACTGGCTAAAGTGTCATACTTTAAATTGTTGAATACCTTCAACTTTTTTCAAAGTAAATTGACGAGAGAAAATTTTGACGTATATAAAAGGCTTTCGCAAAATTGAATGAAGTACAGAAGAGTAACTGTGTTAGTTTGTATAATTACTAGGATTTTTGAAATTCCACACAACCTGAAACATAGAAAAGATTTAAGCAAGATTTCTTGAATCTCTTACTACTACTCCTTATGGATAGTAGTAATTATGAAATCTCAAACGAAATTTCACAACTCAGTAAAAAATTATTTTTTAATTAATCAATAAACAAATGCTATGAAGAGTGTTTCTGTACCTCAAAAATCGATTACTGCTCTAATTATACAATCAAGTTATATCATGAAGTTAGTGGTGATCGAACTTTTTAATCTTGCTGAATCGGCCAATTATGTTTAATCACAAATAATGTTTTTCTTTTTTAATTTATTCCATTATTTTATTACAAAATCATATTTACGATATGAATCATTGAATCGAAATCAGTGTATGGGTTTTAGTAGTGATATGACTAAAAGCCAAATATTTTCTATTTTGAAGCAAGAAGGTTCAAAATTTGAGCCATTGAAAAATAGCTTCATCAATAAAGCTATTTGTGTGATTAAACCATTGATAGCTTCAGCATGAGATTATATCGTTCGTCCTGCATAATTTAAGCAAATTCCTTTCAAACATTTCATCCCAGTTCATTCTTGAAATTCTCAGTCGATTTTATTTCACCATAAAGGCTGATATCAAAAACTTACTAGTTCTTCATAGCTACCAACAACAACAATACCTAACAACAAAAACTGGAGTTCAGAAGTCCCTTCATAATATCCTGTAAACTCCCTTTCTTTTTCTCCTTCTCTTCCTCACATGACATGATTCATCTTATAAAATAACAACGGACGAACATTTCATATGACCAGATTATATCAATTGTTGTCGCATAGGAAAGATCATAACCCTATCGAGTCAATGATTTGTGATTTAAGAAAGTATAGCCTTTTTAAACTTATGTTAATCCTGAAAATACGAGTTAGTTAAATCTAAAAAATACCGAAGTTTTGTGGCCAAAATGGATGTTATTTAAAGATAAGAAATAATAAACGAACCTATTTGATCTAGTATGCATAATGCTGCTCAAACTGAAGTTTCTGTTTTGACTTTTAGATTTAAAAAAGATGAAAAGAGAGAGACATTGATTCTTTTATATTTTTAATCATTGCTATAAATTCATAATGGTTTCTTGCTAAAATTTCATATGGAAATGCCTTATCTTAGTGTATGTGGAGATTGTATCACTTAGTAAAAACGGGATCTGACTAATGAGAAAAACGGTATGGAATGCAAGGATTAAATGGATGATTACAAGTCTAATCTGGAAGAAGGAAGGAATAAATAAAGATTGCGCAATTCCAACTAAACTAAGTGAACAGAATGCTCATCAATTCCGAAATTTGAATGACACTTCCACAAAATGAAGTTTGAGCAAGTCATTGTAGTTAGTGTGTGAAGTGTTGGATACCTCAGAAAATCTCGAGCAGAATGAAAAGAGACTACCAAAGAAAAGAAACTACGACATAGGGCAAGAAATAAGTGATTTTAACTATACTGATAACTTAACCAGTGATGTCGATATCGTGGATGCATACCATATTCGACGCTTAACGGTATTATTACTTTGATAAGCATTATGCTTGATGGTTTTCGCTATTCAGCCATTTAATGCGAAATATTTAACAGTGAAAACTAAGAAACACTTTTCAATGTCTTTATTTTCCGATGGATCGGGAAACAGTCTAAATATTAATCAAATATTAACCTAAATATTACAATCTAAATATTAATCTGCTAACTAATCTTGACTATTAAGAGCTTACGAAGATTTTGTCAAAAATGCAATAAAAAAATAGAAATTCTGAGCTGTTGCATTTCTGAATCATCAAGAAAACAAGTATCTGGAAATGTTTAACTGGAAATATTGAACTCTAATGTGCGTAACGAAAGTCGAACATAATTTAGCATGTTGCACGTTCAAAGTCTTGCGAAAAATCATAAACCGATAAGTAAAGATTTGAAAATTTATTTCCCCCACCAGTGTTGGAAACCATATGAGTACATTTCCTCGGCCTAGGAATCAATGTTTAAAATGTTTCTCGACTTCCCCTTTCTCCAGGCAACTCATGATTAATTGATCGTACATAGCAAGAATACCAACACCTCAGCTCTCGGCGTTTCTCCAGTATTGAGAAAGTAATTTAGCAAAAATATTAATTCTAAATAATTTTGCCACCAGAACTTGAAAATCTATGTTGGAGGAAACTGTGGAACATAGCTTCTGGAGGACTACTGCAAGTTTTTGATGACCGTAAACTTCCATTCTAATTGAAATTAAGATTGGTTAATCACCAGTTCACATCAGTTCGTCGTATCACCAAAAAGCGAGATGTTCCGCAATATTTTCTTTTTTTTTGTGAGAATGAAAAATATGAAGGAATTTGCAGTTCTTCGAACTTCCTTTAGATTTATTTGACTCAAGTTATCTCCTCCTATATCACTTAAGAAATCCTGAATTCTCTGGGAAAATCTCCCGGAACAAAAACGGTAGTGTGGGCAAAGCACGCTTGGGATGAAATCGACATAAACGAAATGCTAAAGCTAATGTTATGTCACAAACACTATTCCCCAGCGCTACAAGGTAGCGATAATTGGATACTTTTTTCATATCAACTTTATAATAGAGCGTTTTCATAAGCTCTCTAATGTTCCATCCTTTTCATCATAACTATTCTATTATATAAATTCTGTACTCAATAGTATATCAAAATCCAGCATTCTTTTTCTGGACCAGCACTTTTGCGTGTAAATTCGAATAATGAAATTCTATGAGTAAATAAAATTCCGAAACGGCTATCAAATCCAAACAACTTCTTGAAAGTTATTTAAACCATGCACATATACCGAATAGTGATATTTTCGTTTGGGCAAAGTCCGGATAAATTATCCAGTTCCCCATAACTATGTATGATTCCCTATTGTTCCAGGAAATACAAAATAAATCATTATTTATCGCATAATCGCAATAGTGATATCTAAGAAATATACTTTACCTACATGATAAACAGACACAACTCAAAACGGAACAGTCTGCCCTACTTATTTTAAATTAAGTTGAAAAATGAAAATTTTCTCACTGCTAAAATCTTCATCAGTTTCTTTTAAAGCAATATGCATGCTTGAGTTAAAACCTATTAAACAAAAAAAACACCAAAGCAGGCAACTCGTTGCGTCCGGACCATGAAAAAATCGATAAAAGATCTTTCTTATGTATCAATAAGAGGTCTCAAATTATATTCAACAATAACGTCAAATTAAATTATTACAGTTGCATCATAATTTTCTTAAACTAGCTTTCTGAATAGTGACGGAATACGTAAATGCTCAACAACGGGTTTAATTTCGAAATAATGTGCAATAACTATCTAATTCCATTGTCATTTAAGGCTTCTTCAAGTTTTGTTTTAATACGGATGAACTGCTGCTTCAATGACGCGTTAGAATCGAAATCATCTTGCGAAAATAATACAGGAATAAACCCTCTGGCTTTCAGTAAGCGCATATTTAACAAAGCTGGTCCCATCAGAGTGCTCTTATCGTCATCATCATACTGCAACTATTCAGAAAATAGAATCGTCATGGAAAGTGGCTTGCAAATAAAAAGTAATGAAAGTAATGATGACTAGTAAAAAACAAAAACTAAGTGTGGCTTAGTATAAGTGAAAAAGTATTTAAACTACATGAAAAATGTTAGAACGTCTTTAATAAACGTGTAAAGACAGATCAATTTTAAATTAAATGGCATAAAAAAAAACGGATACTCACCGGTAAAGTGCGATCTCTCCAGGAGAGATAAATTACAGCCAAACGAGGTACCTTCGTTTCCTCAAAATGGCTCAGCGGAACAAAACGATTCCCTTTAACATCAAGCTTGATGATTGCATTAATAAAAATTCCATCCTCAGTAAGAGCAGGAGGAAATGCATGTGAATTCACCGGAACCAGTTTATGCAACAATGAATGAAAATATCGAACATTACCTTCATCGCTCTTTCCGTAACGCAATTTCAAAGCCATATCACTCTGAAATTGAAAACTATTTTCATCTATTTGTAGTAAATAAATACATAAGAAGAAATTATCAAAAAATCTCATCAACAAATATCTGACAAAATAAAAATAAATTTCTTCGTAATTTTCGACCAATTTTTCTTGGAAAATTCTTACATATTATATATGCAGTTATAAGTTATAGAAAAGACTTAGATCTGATAGGAAATGCTTCAAAACAAACCAATGTTGTTGACGAGATCTGCATTAGATCCAAAATGTCCACTGAAGGTCCTTTATAGGTTTTATTTAATATTGATTTCAAAAAATGCTGTACTTGAGCAATGGTTATTAAAGCCATTAGTTTTCGAAAGCCACTCAACCTAAAAACCCAAACTGTGAAACTGCGAAGAATAAACAAAAATATCGATTTGCATTCATTTCGAAGAATATACTTTAAAAACTAAAAAAATTTTACGATAGGAAATGAAAATTTCTCGAACCCTTCTAATACATTTGCGACGAATGACGGTTGTAAGACAGTTTGTGCCAGTTCTGGTGATAACCTGTCGCATGCTGCTAAAGCATAGACTGTACTAAGCCACATCTTGGGTGAGTCAATATTTGAGCAAGCCAACTTTTCGCACAAATATCCACTGGCTTCTTGAATTAAATCACCTTTGCCACCAATTGCACACCAATGCACAGCGTATGATAATTCGGTTTGAGCAGCATTCCTGATAAAATGGCAATCACGGTACAAAAAATATTAGTACTCTTAATGAAAATAATCTTCCTTCAAATGATCTACATAAGAATTAGAAGCATAATCGAACACAAGATGAATAGACTCATGAATAATACTGATAGATAGTAGTAGCAATAGTGAAAAAGATAATAATGGAATAATAGTGGGAATAATGGTAAGAATAACAACAAACAATAATAGTAATAATAATAATAATTGTACTGATAATTTTAAATTGCTCTATGAAGGTCATAAAACCAACATTTGATTATTATTAATCCATGCAGCAATAGCATTCCATGTTTTAAGATTTCCAATATGTAATTTCGCCATCGAATGAACAATCGCATTAATTTGTGACCACTTAGTGAAACGACTGATATTGGTTAAAGTTTCTTCAGCTATAATTCGCCGAAACCTATTATCCATGAACCTCAATTTTGCAGCTGATTGTGCTAATAGCACCAGCTGGTCGATCTGAAAACGAGATTGTTTTGTCATATCTCTTAACCAAAAACCGCATAGAGAAAACCTCTAATCAAGCATTAACGCACTTCCGATTAAAAAGCTATAGCCAGATAGCTGTACTGACTCACATAATAAGTAATATTTCAATTAAATACTGACCGTTACGTCCTTCTTATTCTGCTCGAAAGCATCGCAGATGAGACGCAAAACATGGGGCGGTCGGCATGAACTATTTGCCAAACTTGACATCATGTCAATCAGTTCACTGGAAGACATCGACGATATACAGCTTTTTGCTTTTTCAACAAATATGTTGAACCAACTGTCACTTTTATTCCAATATGCAATCACGGAAACAATATCTTTTGGCTCTGTGATCTCACTGAAATGTCTTTTTCCGTAAACAACTGAAGAAAGCAATCGCACTATCCATTTCAGTTAACTGGCACCCTTTCATAGCTTCAGTACCAAACACGCCACCAACACTACTGGAGATTCTAAATTGCTATTGCTCTATGCTCTATGCTCTATACAAAAACACTGTGAAATGAACTGAAATTGGAACTATTGAATGTGCTGATAAGTTCATGTAAAGTAAGAAAAGCAGTACAATATGCTGCCAATACTACTGGAAATACTACGTTAATCATTGTCCAAAATCCATTTTTTACCTAAAAACAAATTTTAATTGGCAAAAATAACAAAATGACACAAACCTTGCCTTCAACTGCAACCATTCTCTCATCTGACAGAATAAATCGTCGGGCAGGCGGATCTTTTTAATGCTTACTAAAGCAGCTAAACGAACCAATGGTGAGACCGGAACAGAGAACACATCAGTGGAAAACTGCTGTCGTAATATATCGATCAATGTTTCGAAGATGGATTCTTGGGTAAGTTCGAGAATAATTAATGCGCACATAGTTTCAAGCGTCGAGTTCATATTCAGCTTTTCACTTTTCAATGATTTGTCCATTTCGGCTAACAATGTTCTCAAAAATATTAATTAACAAGTAAAATGGAGGCACTAATGACATATAAAGTAAAATCCTCTGTAAAAATATTATCCTCCTATTCAGACTGATAACTTCAGAACTATATTCCGAAGCTCCATTAAACATACCGCATTGGATACAATTTTTAATAGAATGCAAACCAATGTTCAAAGTCTTGAGAGCATTTTGTACTATCATCCACATTCTTTCCACATAGGGAATACAATACATACATGAAATATAGATAATTAAAGCTATCAAACTAACTTCAGGCTATTTTCAACGAGAACATATTTTTTTAAATTTAAATTGACTAGCAGACTTACTTCTTCAAATAAACTGCTGCTTTCTGAATACCAAAACTTTCATTAGCAAGTTCAGCAAAACGTACCAAAACTTTTACAGAAATTTCACCATTTATTGGACTTTCCAACTTTGAGCAAATCTATAACTCATTTTATCCGTAAAATAGCGAGAATTAAATGCATGATAAATTAATGGTTCCGCCTAGGAAACACTGAATTTAACTGAAGAACAACATAAAATCTTTACAATATTATACAATTTCGACTTCAGTATACTGAGGATGCTTTCAGGTTAATGACAAGTAAGATGTCCGGCACTACCAGTACTGTAACTATTATTAAAAACATCCATATACGTCTCATTTATTATCTGCAAACATAACTAAAATAATTCGAACTTTAAAGATCTTCGCAGAAAACACATATTAACAAATATTTCAAAATAAACTGTAAAATCACCTTCTTGAGACCATCAACACTTGTAACTGTATTGATTTCAGCTCCTTCGAGGCTGCTTTCCTGAGTGAGATTTGTAATCAGCAAATCCAAGCCACATGCTCTAGCATTAGGAGCTATTTCAGCTGAGTATAAACGTTTCGTCACAATATTTGCTAACCTAATTCGCTGTTGTGTTTTAAAAAATTGCAAATTTGGCGCGCGTCGAAGAAATGACAATGAAAAACGGGACATAGACATCTCAATTCGCTTTATTTGTTGTTTCTTTTACCTTATGTCCATTATGATTGACCCAAAATTCGTTTTTGGTCCTAAAAATAAATTAATTATAACATTTTTTTCTCCTGATACATTCAGTCCCCCTTTACCACTAAAGAATCAATAACAGTTCAAAATGAGTAAATCATACACTATTCTATAAAATGACAAACACTACCATCAAGTCCTAAACCTTATTTTTCGTTTTGAACCCGAGCAATAAAATTCAAAAATCCCGCGTTGGAAAGCGTCGTAAACTGAGCAGGATGGTAAAATAACTTCCTCCCATCCTTCATCTTCGCTTCTTGCTATCGCTTATCCCCTTGTTTTAGTACTTAGCTGATTTTCTGTTTATTACTCAGAATTCTATTACTTGAGTTTCAAAACCTCGGCCAAAAATAACCGGTGCATGATTTTGCTATGAGTAACGAATCATTCAGTTAGTACCATGAGGTTCCTGAAATTCTATTTTAGTGTTCCTGCCAGAAGTCTCAGCTCGAATTCCGAGGGTTCAGCTGTGATAATCCGTGTCTTTTGTTCTTCACTAATATTTCAACAACTAGTGGAATTACATGCCAATATGTAGATAATCTTTTAAAATATTTCTTTAGTTCCGACAGCAATGCTTTTAGTCGTTCTTACCTATCCCTTATGCCTTCTCAATCACTGGCCCAATAATCCTATATGAAAACGCCGTTACATTCCTTACAAACTACTTCTTGTATGCCCCAAAATCAATATCCTCATTCCAACATCTTACACCTACACACTAGATCCACAGTTAAACTCACCGTTGCATGCCACTAGGGATGAAAGGACTAATCTACGCTGAAACGAGAGTTGCGATGCTCGGGATTGATTGGTCGCAAATAGCCCGGGGGAGAGGGGGGCACGACATCAGCAAAATTAGGACATCGTTGATTTAAAATCCATATTACTTAATTGGTACACAAACTTTCAATGAGAAATGTGTACCAGTTGTATGCCAAAGTATTCAGCAAAAAAATCCTAATGAACTGTTAACGATAATATTCTCGATTAACTTGCACAGCTTCATGTACTTAAAGTACTCTCATGGAAATGGAGGATATGAGTATAAAGCATGTCCTTTCCATGCAGTGCAAAAAAAGACACCTGCAACAGAAACCTCGGATTATAGAGGACCTTCACGGCAATGTTTAAATTCCCTTGCTTTTAAAATACCACAAAAGAGTATCCAGGTACCTACTGAATTCAAATTTAAAGTGCTTACTGAGTAGTTTTGATTGTTGCCGTAAGTTAATAATCGAATTTGCAAGAACTGAGGATGCCACGTCTCTGCAATGTATTGTTTGATGCAATAATCCTAATCTGAATAAGTGTTTAAATATTTTCGCTTTATCGTAGCGATATATTCTAGCTGATCTCATCAATGCAAATATACTGACCATGATGTCGAAAACTTCCGGTTTCAATGTCAAACAACTAATTGTTTTTTAAAACCTCTAACATCGCTGTAAATAATGTATGAAATGAAAGGAGTCAGGTGCATATCATAACTGGCAGCTGCCATGCTGAAGAAATCGTCATTTTGGATGTTTTACAGTCAAATAAAATTTTGGAGATGTATATTGAAAGAACTCATAAGCGACTGGGAAACAATCATTCAACAAATTCTTTGACAAATATATAAACAATGAGTTTATTAAAGAACAGGTCCAGGTTAGTAACAACACGTCAGGTAACATCTCTATAACTCTTTCAAGCAATTACATTTTGAAAGATAAGGAGTTGTCACTTCACTGCACAATTTTGGTTTATAAACAGCTCCTATGCCTCACCATTCGCAGCATCAACGCGTACTCGACGCAAAATAAGTATCGGATATGAAGGAGTTGCTACCCAGTTCTTATATTCAGATTTTGGATGCGATTTATGATCGGAGTTTTCAAGTCGACAATTTCTGCTACGAACGGATCCGCTACCACTAGCGCGGGGCTTGCTTAATGAAGTGGTATTCCTGAAAATTTCATCCGAACAAAATCATTGATTTTAAGGCCTTCTCGTGCAGATATTATTATAAAAAAATATTCATAATTTTGTTTTGTCTAAAGGTAAGGCACATCAATTAAATAATGAAACTGCCGTCTGAAACTGTGAAAATTTCAGATTCACTCATAAATTGAAAATTCCAGCAATAAAAATACAACAACCTTTTTCATTGGTTTTAATTGTACATTTAGCAATTCATTTTCTTCGCAGAACGCATAGTCTTTACAGCAAAACGAAAACAAAAAATAGAAGACAAGACAAAGGCAAAAAAATATTTTAACAATCATTTGAATTTTTGTTATTGAAATTCGGATTTCTTCCCAGTAATACACATTCATGATTATGCTACTTCTGTAATAAATATAGACGGTCTTAATTTAATCACCAGCATTAAGTGATAGTCACAAAATTACAAAACTGATTAAGCTAAATTTGTAAAAAAAAATCTACAATTTAAAAACACATGTAGCTACATACTTCCGAACGCATGACCTTTGTACTCCGACTGCGCAATTTTTTTTCGAGAGAACAATAGCAGTGGGACTATTGAATGGTGCAGTAACACATTTCGCTAAATCAGAATTTGATGATGAGCATGATAAAATCATTTCCTCGTTCACAGAATCAACTTTGTCTTTCATTGATAAATCCAGTGGCTCATCGGAAATATGCGAGGACTGCAAATTTTTCTTTTTATCAGTCAAAAACTATCGATGTACTGGATATGAGAGACCTGAAGACTACCTCGTCAGGACAACTGTATTGATATGTTTCAAAAAGTTTAAGTAACCCGTAGTGCGAATCTCAATTATAAATTTGCTGTACTACTGCGACAAGGCGCAACCTGATTTGGAAATGTTCATCAACTTGGTCTAAACTTATATGTCAATGTACCAATGAACTACCATCTGTAAGAATGCTTGCACTATTCGTGAACATATTCGTGAATATACTTTCGGTAAGAATTCTTGTTTCCACGATCTTCAAAAAACCCATTTTTGGATTATTGAAATAATTTTAATAATATTCTCTTTGTTCTGCGACAATCAGAAGCAACTGTTGTCAAAGTTTTTTGAGCTGCAAAAGATTCAGCAGCAGATTCATAAATTTAGTACCTGCACCTCCTGTTGCTCCTGTTGCTCTCGCGAAAAATTTTGTCCACTTTCTGCAAAGTTTCTTATTGACAAAAAATAAAAACGTCATATATGACTGCACAAAAATATGTCAGTGACTTATCACACTTCAAAGAAGATTCGTTTTCTTATTATTTTCTCAACAAAAGTATGAAGAGGGGCAAATATCTGTAAATAATACAGCACTGACGCCATAAAAAATAACACAGTAGTGGTGCATTTAGTATCTGAACACGTTTTCTTCTGCCACAATTTACATCATCGCTCAGTTATAGTTATTAAAAAAATAAAATTTCACACCCAACAGAAGTGAATATCCACCTTTAGCCAAATGAAAAGAAAACCTTAACAAGCACTACTGCTGTTTTTCGGTATCTTAATTGTAAATCTAAAGATCCTTCTTCGTATGATTTTTTATCACTGAGAAAGTGCGAATTAACCTTTAACAGAGAGTGCTTTAAATCCCCATTGCAGCGCCTGTTTTTCAAATTCTCGATGATTATTAAGTGTACGTAACAATTCTCCTTTCAAACATTTCAATGCGTTTTTGAGACACGCTATTTCTCTGAAAACTTGGTAACCGAAATATCTACAGCTATTTCTCGAACGATAAAACCGAATGAAATATTAAGAACAAAATGTAGAGATGACACTCCTCATCAATTTTTTCCATAAAGAAATTTTATCCTCCTGCAAAAGTAATAAACACTACACTAAATGTAAAGTATTTAACATATGGGGTTTAAACACTGTTAAGTAATTTGTGCTTACATATCAGTAAAATGTGAGGAAAACTGGCACTAAAAACTTACCTTTCGAGTTCATTTTTCGATTTTGCATCTTGCTTCGCTGCTTGAAATTGATACCAAAGCTGCACAACCTGTACGGATAAATTTTCTATACAAAACAGCATATAGATATGATAATAAAGTATACTTCCACAACATGCTTTGGAAAACTTCAAATCCAACTTCACAAAAGAAGAAAATCCTAGAAATACTAATCTTAATTAGGAAATTGAGTTTACGTTTGGCGACATTCGAAAAAAGAAACTCAACTGTCCGGTCAAAGCTTTTTTAAGGGAAGCGCGATGCATAAAAACAATAAAAATGGCTAAATGTGTGAAGACAAAAACTGTTTTATACACTGATACTCCATAGATTATTCCTATACCATGAACTTTGCATAAGGATGGTGTCATGCAATATCTAATCGAACTTTACTTTATCACTTTTCATAATTTTGCCATTAAATGTAACTTTTTCATTCTTGATGCAGAAACTGTTGCCAAAAAGCAGCAAGATGCATACGTATGGAATAAAAGATGTAGCGTTTTAGGTGTAAGTTATGTCTTCAGTTAATTTTTTATAAAATGCGAGCAGAATGCAAGCCACAGTAGCGAGATAAAAGCTATTAGGATTTTAATAAACTCACCTTTCTAACCAAGCAGCGTTCCATCAAAACCTTTTGAGAATGTTGGAAGGCAATTGTCTCTTTAATACGTTTTTCTGCACTTTCGATCAACATTTTCGGGGGCTTCAGTATTTTGAAAGTATTTTAAAGTTTATAAAAAGCACAAAGTATGGGTGTTAGTTATACCTAAAAGAACAATCAAAGCATGGCGTGCAGTATACCGAGACAGCACCTACTACATAAACTTTAATTTTGAGCGACTGACGAATAAAACTGCAGATTTCAGATGCCTGAATGTTGAGCGTGCAGATCGATTGTTGCATGAGATTGTGCCGGAAAAGAACTGTAACATCTTGCTTCTCGACAACATTTTGAAAAATAAATAAACCTACTTTATAGTGAAATATAAATTAAATTGAAATGTAAAACGGAACGGGCAAGTGCATGCATGAAAAGAGCAGGAATATGAAAATTTTGTATGTATTTACAATTTCACATGACAAAAGCAAACACTTACCATGAAGAATTTCTGTACATGAGGTGGTAATGTCTTGTCAATTGCAAGAGCTGTAATTCCAGTGCGCTGGCAAAATTTGCAAACTTTTACCGTATCTGCAAGTGTCGCTGTTGGGCTAGAAAAGAAGGAAGGACTGGTGGTTACCATAAACAATGAGAAAGACCAACCAATATCATCAGTACATTCGCTGCATAAGATGTGACCACAGTTGGTAAGACGATAAGTGGGAATGAGAGTCCAATTATCCGGACGTCGTGTACAGTTATTGCAGTGGAACCAGAATTCCATCACTCTGATTTCGCTAATACAGTGTGTGTGAAATCACCGACAAAGAATTACGCAACGTTATGTACCCTTCACGATGCCACTTTACCACAAATAAATTACCCCTATCAACAATGACAGTCCGACGTTCACGCACATTAATCGACTAGCTGCGCAACAACCATGACACGCCGCCACAGTCACGCAAGTAGTAATAGTCGTGACGACGTGGTGAGAAATAGTACAGTAAAATGGTCAAAAGAAACTAGAGAGAATTGTCGAGACTAAAGGTGCTGGGGAACCAGGTTTCTGTCATCCCGTCTAATTACGTTATCCAACATGGTTGCTTTCTGGTATCCTTTCTTTGCCTCACCGCCTCCCGAAATATGGGCAAGTGAGCTCATTGTGATTGTTTTACTGGTGCTTCGAAGGGAATACCTTAGCCATCGGAAAGACTAGGTATTTCGAGATGGTCTAATTCTTCCTTGTTTTTTTGTTCAGTTTTGCATATTTTGTATATTTTCCAGTAAGAAGTAAAAGGAATGAGAAATTTTGTTTTAGTTTTGTAGGAAGTGAAGTGGTCCGGAATTGATGCACCACCATTCATTTGTTTTAGATTTTAAGCAAATGTGCCATAGTGACTTGGTCGAAGGACGAAGAGTGAATGCAGTCAAAGCAAGGTTCTTTTAAGCTTCATCTAACAAATACTGACTTTTCAAAATGTGATTTCATAATTTTTTCTTTGCTTATAAATTGAAAATAATATCAATAAAAGGTGTGTACAACAGTATTTCATAAACAAACGTTTGTAAATCGGAAGTAATTTTTTTTAATTCATCTCTTTTTAGGATTCAATTAAAACAGAACATTTATTAGTAATAGATTGTGGTACGACATCGTTGATGTCCACCAGATGTTTGGAGAACTCTATGCGCTTTCACTGTTTGTCGATAATAATGGCCGTTTTTTGATTCCATCTGAAAATTTTTTCTTCGTTTAAATTAAAAAAGTGATTTGGACAACAGTAAAATAATTATAATACAAATTGCAGCTACTGCAAACTAAATCCTAACTTCTTTGATCATCTAATTATAATTCATATGCAAACAATTGTACACTGACACGGCATAGCTGAATCAAATTTCACTGATAAAATATCCTCCTCACCAGTTGTTCGAAACGTTCCGAAGAAATACCGCTGTTCGGAGTGCTCGCAATCGCTGTCGGTGTTGCATAACTCATACGAGCTGCATACTGAGAGGGTGGGATACCTCTCGATGACGACTTATTTTTTCTGCTTTCTTTATACAAGAAACGCTGCAAATTCTGAATGCAACTTTAGCGTTATAATCTGAATGCAAAATGCATTCTTGAACAAGAAATAGATCTGAGTTTTTGAAAACGTAATCTTACGTGATCATTAACGAAAATTATAATTTTTCACTAAATGGAAAATACTAACACAAGCACAGAATAGTAACGTCAGAACGATGATCACAAGAATGATTGAAACTCCGACCAATACTGCAAACTTTTAATTTTTTTTAATGAACTTAAGATTTATCAGGAAGTACAATCTTTGAATTTCGCTCATAAATCATCCGGTTTTTGCTTCTTTTAAATTCGAATCTTGAAATTTCAAAGTCCATTTTCAACTGTTGCAAAGTTACTTTACCACATAATATCTTTTCACGCAACGCTTTCTTTTCTGCAATACGATGACTAGTCCAAGAATGTGGTTCTGCCCGATAAATATCGCCATTGTAGGTGAACCGAAAAGAGCCATCACTGACCTGATCTTGTAAAATTTCAAGTGAATATAACTGAAATGATATCCTCTCTTTCAACACTGGAAAACGTGAGGTTTTCCGCAAGATTCCGAATTTGTCAATGTAAAATAAGGAAACATGGAATTCTGATAATCTTGCCCTATAAATAGCAAGATGCATACCACACCGGAGATATCAGCTGCTTTTGACTTAGCATCTTCACTTTTCAAAACAAACTGTACCATATTATCATCACGAATAACAATATCTCTCAATTTGTCATCATCGACATCGAATCTTTTTTTTATGTACTCACGAAATGCTCTATAATACTACTAGATAGTTGCAAAATATGCTTAAAGAAGTGTAAAAGTGAGAAATTCCAATATCAAAAGCATCTTAAAAACTCGAAGTTCAAACATTTTCAGTTCGACTTTAGGTAGTTTGAAAAAGTACAATTCAGTAACATACTCGTTTATATCTTGTTGATGCTTTCCACGAAACAAAGGTCCTGTGAGGGAAAACCTCAGCTGATAAGTTTCAATCACTCTGCCAGTATCAGTAAAGAAACCATTAAGATTAACATCCATGTCCAAGCAGAATTTTTCACAATCTTTTCTATTGATGAAGTTATTTGAATTTCCGGAGCAACCACTGTAGTTAAATGAAATGCAAGTTTTATTTGTGTAATCATAATAGTATCGCTTAAGGTTAACCGCACAAGGTCCAGCATCCAGCGATAAGCGACAAACATATCCTAAAGAAGTTCAGTAATGTTTGTTATAATTTAGATCTCGACATTTTTTATTAATCAGCTGATTAACGTTTTGCTTAAAATTCATCAGTCTGGTAATTTCAATTCATTTGATCGTAACAGAGGTATAGCTTCAGTCGAATTCTAAATTATTTCTTCTGCTCACGTTTTAATCAGAGCAATTGATGTGTTGAGATTATATATATATATATTTTATAATTCATTCACTCAATGAGAACTGAAGAAATTTTGAAGTTCGTTTAATTTTAACTCAAATGAATGTATTAGACCATCTCTACAGATGCTAACTGATGTGAAGTGTGGGAATAATTTCAAGGATCTGTATGAAGGCTTTTCTGAGGACTCTTATGAAGTTTAAAACTGACCAGAATGTATTTAAGATACTATTTCAAGTTAAAAACAAACGTTTAGACACACAGCAAACACCAAACGACTGATCAGGTGTTGAGAAACAGTAATGTGTAGAAGGACAGTCATTTCCCGACTGAGTACAATTTACTGGCCACCCATCAGCTTTGTTTGAAAATGGATTACCATGAGGACAGCTTATCATATTACTCCTCTCTTCTTTTGTTTCTGAAAAGTAACTGCAAATGAATTACTAATTAACACTTCTAATACTTAGTACTTGACATTATAATTAAAAACCATATCAAGCGAAATTTAAATTGTTCTTTAATTAAGCTGAAGTTCTTATCATATTTAGATTTCCATAAATTCTTAAAACTCAATGATTAATTTATAAAGCAGTAATACTGAAACTTACTTATTCTTGGGCAGCAAACTCCTTGCATAGACGCATCATAACCTGTGCAGTAATAACCAGGAGGACATATTTCAGTGTGATTCTCAGAACAAGAAAAGTGAATATAAGTTGTTTCATCCAGTGCTGGCTTACTGATATCACTGCATGGATTTTCTTCACCTAGCAAAATAGCGATATCAGCGTCAAAAATATCAGATACAATAGAATGTATGTTCGACAACAAGAGGAGAACACTAATCTCAACCTTTTAAGGAATGAATGTAATCGATTTTGATAAAATCGTGATTTGAAATGTTACATCAAATAAAATTTAAATCGGGCGATAAAAACAATGAAAGATGGATTTAATGTAGGCAAAAAAGAGCATGAGCATAGATAGTACTTTAAATACTTTATGAAAATTATTTCTGAGAGCAGCTAAAAATAAAAACTAACATGATGGTACAGGAATACAAGTGGATTCAGAACAATTTTTCCGCCTCAACATGCAAACTTTATCATCGGGACACTGTATCGCATCACATAAATTGCGGCAACGGCAGTGAATATCTTTTGGGCAATTATTTACGTCCATTTCAAAACCTAATGGACAAATCGCATCGTTGCAGCTAATTGAGCAGCTTTTTTTATCTAAATTTTTTATTAAGTTCTCAAAATGTATTTGGACATTTACAAAGATCAATAAGAGAATATATAATAACCGGAAGCAATTTGGCACAAAAAATAAGCAATTTCGAGTTAAAACTTTACTAAATTCATAAGTGATAGTTAATATTCTCGCATCTAATTCTAGACTATTTTTACAGATTCTAAACTTTTTAAATATCAACTACTATCTGTTATGAAGATGCACAAAGAATAAATCGAATTTAGAAGTGTTTCAAATGACTTCAAATAAGTTATTTAAACTATTTTCACTATGAGTGAAAATGAGGCTTACTAGAGCAAACATCGTATGCAAATATAAGAGATGAATCGAGCAATTTCATCCTTGAACTTCTTGAACCATGCATTACAGCCCCAGTCACCGCATTCACACACCAACAATCACTGAGATCATCACACTGAACTGTTTCAAACATACCTATAAAGTGTGCATCGGTAAAGGAAGTTTAATTTTTGACGAAAAGTTTTATAAAAGCACATGTATTATTTGTATTATTTTTTTTAAATAGTACATTTGATGTGACTTTTATAAAACTTTTTCGAAGTTCGAAAGTTTTCTTGCTTACCCGTATGTTTGTTACACCAAGGTATATGCAGATCGACAACAGCGCCGGAATCAATAAGTTTAGTGATCGAATCACGTAGTAAGATACAATCTTAAAATAATTGAAGACAATCAGTTACTTGAAAAGACACAACTAAAATAATTTTCTTAATCGTGAAGAACAATGCTGTGAATTTTCCCTTTTTAATCAAATCAAAAATTACCTACTTGTTACAACTTCTGGAATAATACAAATTTTGCTACAACCATAATCACAACATAACTGTACTTCAGGACATGCTGAATCATTGGAACATTCCAAGCTACAATCTAAATAATGAAAAAATTGCACGTATTTAAAAATCTTAAATCATCTGATGAAATCATCTGATTAAAAATATGTTGAGTAATGTGAAGTTTATTAAGAAAGAGAAACGAACTTGTTGAATATAAAGATTTCGAAGGAGCAATTCTAGGACATTCTCCCAATTTTTGATTTGAAAGTATTCTACCTATTTCATATGCATCTGTAATCATTACATCATTTAGAACAATTTTCTATTGTGAAGGAAATGACTCACTTTGTGTCTCGGTTCGCAATTACCTCGAAGCAAGAACTAATTTAAATTACATAACGAAAGATTAAAAAGTGGTACCCAATACCCTCTCCTAAATGGATCAATAATCATTAATAATTATTGAGTTTGCTTGACAAGATTGAAGAATTCAGTTGAGAAATTTAAATAATATTATAAATGAGATCCCTTCTTTAATTAGATAGAAAATTGGTTTATATTGCTTTTATCCAAAGCCAAGTACCTGATGTACAACAAATTCCATGTTTTTGCTCATCCGGTAATAAATTACAGGAGCCTGCAGCGCAGTCATCATTTTTTACGCATGAAAATACGTTATTATTTTTGTCCCGCAAAACTTCCGAACGTTTTGAGCAAGGATTTGATTTACCTGGAAAATTTCGTAGGCTTCCGGAATGCTTTGAGTTAAAATGTATAGTCGTTAGATTAATTTGAACAATATTTACAGAAAAATAAGTTTCCGAAATTGATGCAAAACATTCATATTTCATTTTAAAATTTTGAAAAATAAGAAACTTACATTGTGGTAGAGAAGGGCAAGATGAAGTAATGCATCTGACCGGCATCAACACACATATATCTTCTTCTCTGGCACACTTTATCTCCTTTAATTGAAAACTCGGATCTCTGTATTCAGCAGGAAACTTATGTATTTGCACAAATCATAACTTAAGCATTTTTTTACAAAAATATCTTCAATAATGAAATACTTAAATGTTTTTAAAAAATGTTATTGAAGTTCGTTAAATTAAGAGGTACTTACTTCGCATGGATTCTTACATTCGCAAAAGTTATTCAGTGGGCAACCATTTGTATCTAATCGCGGACCGTGTTCACATCTCATTTGATCACATACGGTTGAACAAGCGATTGGTGCTGCAGATCATATCATTTCTTATGTATTAATGGGTTAATTAGACGAAACAGTTTACGACTATCGCCACAAACTTTTCGCAGAACAGTTATCTTATCACTACAAGAAACGGTTGGTAAAAATGATTGAACATTTTTGGTATTAGGTAGCAAGATGAAAATATAATGGCAAAATCGAAATGAAAAATTTTTTTCAAAAAAAGAACTTTCATTGACAGTTCGGTTTAGCAGTAGCAGCTATGACTCTAGTGCCAAGCATTTCTTCACCGGTCTCCGTATTGACGCACCAACATTGCCTAAATTGATGAGTACTTGATTTTCTTTTCAAAATCAAGAAATATGATGCTGTTTGTTGGAATATTCGACAGAATACTTGTCATCTCTCTGTTAGAGTATTACTTCCAGATCGCATAAAGAAAAACCTTATTTTTTTACCATTTTTATATTTTCAATCAACTGAACCTGATTTGTTGATCGCATTGAATTTTTTTGAATGTTCCATCTTCATTACAAGTGATACGTGGTCCGTTGGAAGATACCTTTTTATTCTTATTGGTATAAGAAGCCAATGTATGAATACAAGCTTGAAATATTCGCTTTAAATTTCCTTTCATCCAGTCTTGATTTCAATTAATTTTTCCGTTAGTTTTCATTAAAATTCTGTTTCCCTCATTTTAATTATGAATGAGCCAAATCAATTTGAGAACGATATATATAGAAACTTGAGCATTTAATCCTCAGTCGCCTAGAAAAAAACGCGGTATTTCTCAGAGCCTCACTCAAAAACTTCTTTGCTGTAACTAATTCAGTAAGAACGAAACTGTAAGTTTTCAATTTTCGGATCTATAAATAGAATTAATACCGGTGGTAGTCTGTGGAAAAGCGCATAAATTGCTGCAACCTTTAGTACAACATTTCTGAAAGTCTGGACAATCGCTATCTTTTAGGCAGTTAATCTTACAGCTTGGATCCGAGATAACATCCATTGAACATTCTTGCAACTTTTCGAATTCTCTATCAGACTCTAAAAATAATCAACCAACAACAGTTAATGAAAAAAGCGAAAAAATGTAATATATGGTGAAAAAAAATGGAAGTTGGTGAAAAATGAAAGATGAAACAAATGGGAATTTTGGTAATATTTAGTAATATTTTGGTTTTCAACATTTTCTTCACTTTGTTCTTTCATTTTTCATTTTTTCCATTTGTCCATATTTCTAAAATGATGTTCAATTAGTTTACTAAAGACAAATTAAAAAGTGTTAACAATAGACGGGGACAGAAGCAACTTTGTTGCTTGTACGTTAAAATGTGAATTCCATCACCACCTCTAGAAAATACTGCTTTCGAAAAGTCTAAAACGGTATCTTGGTCCATTTCTTTTGCTCGTGAATCCACGCAGGATGTTCCACATCCGTTGAAACAGCATTTTCCATATAAGCAATCGTTATGTGTATGGCATCTTATCCTACACTTTTTGGAAAGAGTAGGTCGGCATTCAAATGTTATTGGACATACAGCTAATGAAACTTCTGAAATTTTGTTTGAATTTCGAAGGTTAAAGCTCCTAAATTTTGATTCATTTGAATTACTCTGGAAAAACGTTTGAAGTATGACAGTAACTTTACCGTTTCCTGCGCAGCAATATGATGATGAAAATGGTAGCGGAATACCAGTTTGGTGGCAGAAATAGCCTAGTGGACAATGGCGATCTTCTTTGGTATTGCAAAGTACGAGCCTACGCACATTGGGCAGCGTTAACGGCTCACCTTTCGGGCAAACATTTAATATACCTAAAGAATCCGAAGTTTTGATAGACAATTGATGAATACAGAAATCTTATGAAGAGCAGTGCTAAAATCATACAGTGATTGTGAACTCCGTAGTGATAAGGTCGCAAACTTCAATCTCTTTCCAATAGTAGTATCATTTTTATTTCTTGGATAAATCAAAAAATATGGTAGTAAAATTTTAAGACTCCAGAAACTTTGAAGGTAGGAAAATGTGAACTTCAAATTATCATTTTCATCTACATCTGTACAATCAAAATGGAAATGTCGGAGGACAAAACTTTGATGGAAATAATTCATTAGGAAAATTAAAAAAACTAAAGCACTTCCAGCACCGAAGTTAGATGAAGAAGAAAAAGCAGTGGAAACTGGACAAGAGTAGAATAGAATGGACACCAATGAACGTTTTTAAGAAAAATGCGAAAGATTCTAAGAAATAACTAGCATTTAGGTATCGGATCACAGCTTCCAAACCGACATTTGACATCAATCAGTCTACAAACGTGTGTTAATGGACATTGAACATTTTTGCATGGATCATGACAACGGCATTGATCACAACCATTTTGATTCTTTTCATAACTAAAAATAGTAACACATTACAATTTATTATCATTATAAGGAAGAAGGCAACCAGCAAAAATGGACATTATTTACTCTGTTCAATTTCAACTTCATTTAATTTCTTATATCAATATAAACAGAATTTATAATATAGTAGACAGAACTTATATAAAATATAAGATATAGAATATCTATCTTCAAAATAGATCTAAAGGAAAAAGAAGCTGAATTGATACCCTAAAGAGCAATTCAATTGGCAGTTTAACAGCGGACATGACCGAGGCAGATCACAATTAAGATGTGGATGGGAAGTTCGTGTTCCTGAATGAATTAATTATTTGTTCTTTTTTGCTATAATTACTCATTTCCAGCAAGAAAATTGAACGGTTGATTGGAAAGATTGTATAGCTTACCGCGCAACTCACGACCCGATCTATCAACACACCAAAATACGGGACCTAATTTTTGGATTTGATTGAAATTACCAGATGTATCACATCGTGGAACAAATGAGCCTGGTTCAAAAGCTTCGGAAGCACCCAACAAATGAATGCAAGCTAAATTGATAAAAAATTGTAATTTATGTTGTAACTAAAAAGATAACTTAAAGACTTCTAAATGATGACTTACAGTGATGTTTTCTTGAGTTTTAAGTCGAAAATATTGACTGCAGAAAAACTATACCTGTGGAAATCTCAGGATACATGCACGATTTCTTACATCCATTTGAGCAACACTTCTGTACCGTACCACAGTCAACATCCTCGACACATTCATCAGTTTTGTTTTTTAGGCAGCTTGAAGGATTATTATTTAAATATGGACATTCACCCATTTCAGATACTTTTGTTCGATTCGGCGCTTTTTCTCAAAAGAAAAGTGTTAGTATAATTACAAGAAAATTTTATTACTCAAACTTGATGTCAAAAGTTTCAGAAATTTAATTAATTAAAAAATGCTAAAATTCAAATAGACTTTCTTGTCATCTCACGGCTTTCCGCATAATTGCGCTCATATAATTGATATTTTACCGTGTTTTATGTAAAAAATTTTTTAATATTTCAAATTGAGCTGGTTTACAATGAATATTATCAATTTGCAACGTTTTCATAAATATTGAAAAGAATCATTTCAGTCCATATAATAAAACATGCTGTCCATGAGCTGAACTCTATAAGGAGTAAAGTTTGGATAAATTTTGGAAAATTTTGGGACGCTCGAGTAAAAGAGGAGAAACCATTAACGATCATTTTGTCAGCATAGAAAATAAGTTACTCGGATTTAAAAAACCTTCTCATGGCTGAAAATTACCGGATTTCCAGCAGCAATAACCAGCAGAAATATAACAAAAAGATGAGGCACTCAACGACGTGCACTCTCTGTCACTGTTACACGAAAGCGGTTCAAAAGTAATCTCATCAATAACTGGCAATTCTTGTGGGCAGGTGTTTACTACACATTTTGGTACAGCACGACATGAACTTTCGATACATTCCGTTACCTGAGGCACACATATTTCGCTTTTATTTGGGCAAATAATATCCTGAAATTCCATTGTTGTATGAAAGAGTTTTAATGTCGCATAAACATTAGGCTCTGAGTGATAAATAACGAAATAACACTTTAAATTTGAAAAGATTCTAAAAATAAGAAATTTATGAAACTTTTCTGGATCGGATGAGAATAACAAAAAAAAAAAAACATTATCAAATTAATTACTGAAACTACTACTTAGTTGAATTCACCCACATTTATCAAAGATTGATAGGTTCCTTTACGTTAATAACGTTTCTGACAAAAAAAGGGGAAAAAATACATTAGCTGAGTTTTTTTATTTAAAAATTTTCTTCACCTAAACAAAATAATGGAAGCAAAAAAAGGTTATCTACAAAAAAATACAGGTCTGAATGCGACATGAAGCAAAGTGACAGCACCTTACATGGATTGTAACAGTCACATGTTGCGCAACCATTCCTATCTGTTTCAAATCCGTATGCGCAATCTTTTTTTATTTGGCAACGACGTGGCGTGCATAATCGCCGTGCTGAAAATTTTATAGTCTTCTGATTCTTTAACATAAATTCCTAAAATCTAAGAAAATGTTTCAGGTGAGAAAATTGGAGAAAGTATCAAAGAGAGCCTCGGTTGCTTTGATTTCTTAGAATATTCCACCTCAACTAACCTCGACAGTTTGGTGTTTCTTTATTTAACACTTTAGTTCCTTCCAGTTCCACACCTGTTTTAGAAACGCACCAGCAATACAGTGCATCACATTGTATATCTTTGTAGCTGCCATCTGCAGTAAATGCAAATTTACAAATCTAAACAAAATAATGGAGATGGTATTTAACAATAACACATAGCCTTAATTAATCAAGAAACTTGTGGATAACTTGACAATAGAAAGTAATCTCCATGAGAATTGTTAGTAGAATCTGTGAAGCTGTTGTAAATTCAAAATTAAAAATAATGTAAAGACAAAATTTTAGCAAGAAACTTGTACATTTATCGCAGAGAATTGCATCTTTTTGCCCAAGTTTGTCATAAGCAATTTTTGCTTGGAGACAACCTAAATTATTTGCTTTAAAATTTCAGGAATTATATTAGAATACAATTAATGAAAAGTTTCCCATTATAACCTGTTATTCGTTTCGGATAGTTGCATCGTTTCCCACACGTGATCATGTAGAACTTTTGCAACTCCGAAACAATCGTTATTTATTTTGAACGGAATAATCGCTTCAAATTCGCATTTAATTCGTAGCCTGATTAGGAGGCATTCATCATTTCGTACTGATATATCAGTAAATGCTACATTAGATATGACTGCAAGAATTGAAACCCCTGTAATTCCTGATGAAATTCTACTTCAACAGTTTTCATATTAAGGATGAAATGAATAAAATTAACCTGATATTTGAACACAATTTGTCCCACAACCGTCATAACAGCACTTTTCATTGGCTGCACATTCATCATCTATAAATTATCCGCTGTTTTACTGTTGCTAGTACAATACATATTTTGTTTATCAATACTTCACATCTATATTCGTTAAATAAACTCCGTTAAGTTTAAGCTATACTTAAAAGAAAAAAATTTCTTTATCTAAAATAATAAAAATTTAAAAACTTTAGTTCCTAAATGAACATTTTGTAGATTGAAAAAAACCTGTTCTGCAATGAATATCACATGGTTTGCTATGTTCAATGAATGGCTCCACAGATCTGCACTTTGCATTAGTACGGAGTTGCTTTGAAGGCAGTGGACAACATAGGCCTTTAGATTGTATACCAATATTATTACACCAGTAATCGTCTGGACAGTCCTGCTTATTTTTGCAAAGTACTGGTGGGACTACTGATGAAACATCAGTTGAACAAACGTCCGGCACACCTCAAATGTGACACATACTTAAACATTGATACCGACTTACATATTTTGTGTATATTAGATTCAAAAAAAAAATCTTTAATCCAATAAATTCAAGCCAGAATACTGCAGATGTGCGAAACTGGATTATTTTCTTAGCGCAAGTGCATGTCTAATAAGATCAAGTACTAATATTTTGCAAATGATAACATTCGGTTTTCATAATAAACTGAATTTTGAAAATTAAAGAGTTACTTACAGCGCGGTTGATCAGGACAGTACATATTTTCTAAACACTTCACGCTCGCCATCACGCAAATATATCCTTGCGGGCATAATATATTTTTACAAGGATTACGGCATTCACATGATAGACATCCTTCATGTGTTATTTTAAAACCATATGCGCAAGTTTTGGAACATTTAAATGGTTTGCAATCGACCAGCTTTTCTGCAAAAATAAGAGCCAATTCGTGTAAGATTCGTTAAAGCTATACATAAAATTGCACTGATTTCAAAAATTTGATCGACTTAATCTAAAATTAGTTCTATAATTATATAAATTTAATTAACGAATCAAATTTAAGAGTGTTAATACTTGCCTTGTGAATTACAATTTCAGTAATGGAAATGTTAATTCGAGATTATATTAAAAATTTCAATATAATTACTGTCATATTAATCCTAATTCTTTGACTCTTCTGATGAGTTTCCAACTCATGGTACAAATATTAAAAAAAAAGAATTTCCCAGCATTTGAGAATATCCGTTGCAGTATACGGAAAGATCATATAAAGCATGTAGCACTTTAAGCTAAACCATTAGATCAAGCATTTAAATATTTAAGTAATTTTTAAATGCAACGTTTCAAAAAAAGATACCATTGCAGGCGGGTTTTGCATGTAATTCCGTTCGGGTTGCTGGAATTTCGTTACCGTTTGCTGTATCAACACAGTAACAGACACGATCATCACATTGTATTTGCTCGTAATTCCCTTCATCGTTGCATTTTGGTGTACGGTCGTTTCCAAAAATTTCGTGTGTAATAAGTTCATGAAGACATGCTGAAGTATTATGGTTGCAGTGAGCATTAAAGTAAGACACTTTAATAAAATTGTTTTAATGATTAGAAAAAGTCCAGTCCTGTTTGTTTAATTAGAGATATTCTTAAATTTAAAAATTTCAAAAAATCTGGTGACCTCATTTATTTTTCATTGCAAGGGAATAAAGGACTTCACTTTCATATAATTCTATTTCTTTTTTGAAGTCAATGCCAGAACTGAAAAATATTTGAATGTTGAGAGAAAGGAAAAATGATTTACCTGTTGTTTTAGTAGGAAATAAGCAAAGGGCAGAACAGTTATATGTGCAACATTTTTTAACACCTGGACAATCTTGATCCATCTTACATTCTGCTGTGCACTTTTCCAGATCATGATGTTGTTGCGCTTCTGAACATTCTGCAATTTGCTGTACTTTCGTGCCTGAAATTTAAATTTTAATTGAACCAATGAAATTTCAAGAATTGATTGCATTTTCTGCTGCCTTTGAGAAAATATTCAAATTGGCATGGGAAAGTGGTAAAAAAGTAACGAATAAAACAAATGTTTTTATATTATATTAACTGGAAAAAAAATGAAAGCGACATCTTTGTGTAATATTTTTTAAGTTCAATACTATGAAATTAGAATAAGTAAATTGTCTTACTGCAGTAATTTTTCTGCACGAATATATTCTTTAACTTGAACTGATTTATGGACAGAAATCAATCAAATATAATTTTTATTTGTAAATTTAAACTTTGATAATGAAATCTTCCCCAACATTAGTTGATTTTTGAGTAGAGCAACCAATGCGAAAATTATAAATATATGTACTGTTGATCATACATTTTAAGCCACAGCCATCGAAACAACATTTTGCCTCGTTTGAACAATCTGAATCAATGCGGCATTCAGATTTGCTACTTTTTGAGTATCGTGATAAAATTGGAACGCAGTTTCCGCTATGCAATACCGATTCTGGAAGAGAGCAACAAAATCCAAGACCATTAAAACCGATCTGAAAAAAATGAAATTATGATTTAAAAGGAATTAAATTGTGATTGAAATTTGAAGAAAAAAAACAGAATAATATCATAACAAATATTCTGCTCGTTTGAATCTAGAAAGATGACATCCATAAATCTTTTGACAGATGTTTCACAATTAATGCATATAATTGATAGCTTAAGATGAATTCGAATTTACCATTATAAAAGTTTCGAAAAAAAATTTCGATCGTTTTAAAAAAAAAATCATTCAGTAGAAAACAATTAAAGCTGACATGAAAACAATAATAAAATGGATAATTGGACAGGAAATAATTATCGCACTTCGTATAAATGTCAATTGTTAACTGGTCATCATAGAAAAAAAAGCCATACGTGCAATTTATTTTTATCGAAATGGATTTCGTAAATATACTATTACTTTTAAATGAAATAACATATTTTGGTAGACAAAACTGGATGATTACTTTTATGGAGAACTTTATCCTCACGAGAAAACTCATTTTTAATTTCAAAAGAAAAAACTACTGCGACAATTATTGAATACGCTGAAGTTCCTCAGATCTTTTTAACTATTGTCCTCGATATCGATAAACTAAAAAATGATTTTAGAATTCAAGCTACCTGATGACACCAATATTTAGGTGAACACTGATTTGTGTGAGTACATAATGCTGTCACGCCGTTTGATAAAGTCATTGGTGATCCATTTGGACAAGGATTTAATAAACCTATGAGCACAAAAATCTTTTAAATCTAATTTTATGGAAGAAAATCAAATGATTTGTAAATTGAATAATTAGTTGAGTTTTCATGAAGCTGATGCTAGAAAAATCGAAATTAAAAATTTAAATTGCTAAGGCAAACCGAACTCACATCTAGGCGCCGGCTGACACGGCGGTTTTTCACAATCAGGCTCAACCATTTGGCATATCTCAATGTCATTGATACAAGTCACTCCTTCACAAAGATCTCTGCAGTCGCAATTATCCAGCGGACAGCCTTCATGATCTGTTTTAATCCCAAAAGGGCACACTTTTCGGCATAAATTACCTCCACAATCTCTCCTTCCTAAATGGCACATTTAAGGCATGAAAATGAAACAATTTGTCATTTATTTTAAATTCAGCAATATCATTTTCTCTGCTCCAATAGTTTGCTAGGACGAGAAGGCAAAATCATTTTCTAATCCTTAACTTCAATGAGTATAAATTCAACAGAAATTACTTTTTTCATCGACAAGAAATCTTTGCACAAGACTTACGTAAGCAATTCGGCAAGCCAGTTTTTCTTACAGTTTTGGTTCCAATGATTTCAATACCTTTTTCATCAACACACCAACAAAAGCTATGATCACACTGTATATTCTCGAATTGCCCATCGACCGTACATTTTGGCACATATCCTTTTACGAGTGTTTTCTCGGGTAATTGATCTACTGCTGATACCAGATGTATGCAGTCTGAAAAATTTAGCTAAAAGCACAAGCGAATTACGCGTTAGCAAGAAAGTCTCTAAGAAATTGTTTGAGGAAAATAGTTCATTCTATTTTTTTTTATTCTGAAATTATATAAAACATTCTCATAAATTTAGAAACGATGCAGGTACCTGTTGCTTTATCAGGTGATGTGCAAACACGACCACAGTTATTATCACAACATTTTTCAACCGAAGGGCATTCATCATCATAAATGCATTCTATCGCACAGTTCTGATTCTTGATGTAATTTTTCAATGGACATTTTCCCATTCGATTAGAATATCCTGAAAAAATTTCTTTATCTTCCATTTCTTTCTTTTTTTTTTCTTCTAACAAAAGTCATTAACTATAATTTTTTCACATAATGAATAACCGTCAATAAACTATACTACTAATAGTTATTTGGCTAAATGTCTAAACTATGTCAGTCGATTTTACAGATCATACGTCTGAGAAGCATTTGCTTATTTCAATGTTTTTCTACCAACTGTACTACATAAAATCTTAGCGAATGGTAAGAAATTAAATGTTTGAAATAAAATAATTTTTATTGATCAAAATAGAACTGGTTTCTGGAATAAATTTATTTTATAATTTTGATTGAAATAAATAATATCAGATAATTGCGATTCAAATTTCAGCATTCATTCTGTTCATAATTGCTTCTTATATAAAGTATGAAATTGTAGTGAAACATTTAATTCTATTCTCAGCATAATATATGTTTCAAGAAATATTACTGTGAAGTTGAACAATTTGTTAACTGCATAGGATAATTGTATTGTATAAACTATATTATAACTAAAGCAATGAATTATGAAACCATAACGTCATTTCCATTATTCGTATTCGTAATTTCCATGACTTTTTTTTTAAATGAGCAACTGACCAGTTATTTGAAGCGGATGAATTGAAAGTGAATTCACGATCGCTTTTGGACTAAGTGCAACGACACATTCTCGACCACATCCGTTGCTGCAGCACTTCAATGTACTGCTGCCACATTCACTGTCACTGTTACATTGATGTATACAAGCACCATTGAAAAAGCGTGGACATTCATTTGGCTTTACAGCTACTCTATTTCCACCTGATTGTGATACTGCAAAACAAAGATAAAATTATTTTGAAATTACGAATTTAACTGAAATTTCAATTGTTCACTCAATCTTCTTTAATTGCATTTCCGACTAGTACAATAATTTAAAAATTTTACGACAAAAAAAGTAGGTATCTACTAATGGTAGATGCTGAAGTTTTAAATTCTGAACTTTTTTTTTATTTATCCCGTGAAGATTGTTTCCATTTTTTCTAGTTCTATTCAACTTACTACAGGCAATGATGCATTTTTTTATTTGGAAGCAAAAAACGGAATATTTTCTTTTGATGCATTCTGATAGATCGTTCACTGTCACATAGTATTTGTTTGCGTTGATAATTAAATTAATTTGAGAGAAATTGAATTAAAAAGTTTGATAAAGCTTATATCACTTTTGGGAAAGTTTTATAAATTACATATTAGCAATTTACTGTAAAACCAATACATATTATCACTGTTCAAAATGAGTAAAGAAATGTATAGAACTAAATATTATATTGATAGCGAGTAACGATGAAATTTAATTTACTTACAACAGTTATTTTAAATTATTACTTTGTTATTTTTTCTATTCTGTCTTACTTATTCCAACTTCTTTTCCTTTCATTCTACTCTGCGTCTTAGCATTCTGTTATGTGAGCCAATAAATTCGAATATTATAAATTATAGAATAGCAGTGAATTAAAACATTAACAACAATGGCAATGATATTTGTAAACTCACCAATTTGTGGTATACAAAATAATGTGCCGTCGCTATTATATTGGCAATATTCGCCCGGTGCACACCCCTTCAATTAATGATTTCTTTTTCCTTCCGTTACAAATTCAGTTCAATTCGTAAATTTTTAATTAAATTCAATAAAATTTGTTTTATGACTTCAAATAAATATTGATAATTCAATGTTACTGAATCAAATACTCGCAGTTCAAGTTTAATAGCTCCAAAATTTAAATTACTGCTCAGTTTCTTCAATATAAAATATGGCGCATTTGGCTAAAGCAAATGATTTGTGGCAATTATGTATTGGAATACTATGAGACAATTGTTCTCCTTGAATTCAAAGTGTCTATTCGAACAAACTCAAATATATCAATTTAAATTAAACTCTTAGGATGATGGAAGCGGAAGTAATCGGCGGGCTAAGTCGAAGTTCCAAACTAATTAATTATGAAACGGAAACATATCCGTTTTGTCACTGATTGGTTTACTAACATAGATCAATAGTAATAAGCATAATCTTTCTGTTCACTGATTATGGTTATGGTTATAACGATATAGTAATGTGTTTAAAAAAATAATATAATACTTTCAAAGAAATATAATATTAATTATAAATGCTTGCATAAAAGTGTAAGAAACAGATCACAAATAACTTACAGGGCAGGGGGCATCGTGGCAAATGCATAAACATATCCCTAATACACCAATCTGATAACCGAATGGACAACGAAGTTCACATCCAGGTGGGCGTTGACAGGAACGATCCGTAGTTGTACCGATGATTGGATTTTGTAAGTAAGTATTTTCCAGGCAGACTACTAACGATAAAAGCCGGTGGAAGAGGAAAATAACGGGTAGAAATAGCATATTACAACATACATTACAGTGAATAATAAACTTCCAACGCATAATACGCAAATTGTTACGGGAAAAGAACTGTTATTTTGGATTTTTCCTTCCTCAACTGGCAACTACCAAATTGGCATTTGTTCTTTTTACCTACGCAATTAGTGTTTCACCTTTCAGTTGTTAATTTGGCTATAGAGATGTCATTTCTGAAAGTGATAATACTTACAATAGCTTTAAATAATGAGTTCCAATACTACGAAATTGTGAAATTTTTTATTACAAGACTAAAAAAGGCTACTGAAGACAGAAAATAATGATGTCAGTTGTATGACAATAATTATCAACATTACCACCAGCATCACTCCCATGATATTATTCCATTAATAATTCTCCTCCTTCTCCATTATCAATCCGCCTATGGAGGGCTTCCACATGGAAGGGATGAAATATCGTAGAGGACGAAATGGACCTACGTGGAGATTGTGCAGTAGTATTTAGGGAATAATGATCGCTGCCAGCAAGTGATATATATTTTGAATAGTTTCGATGCCTTTCGTCCACTTCTATTTTCCTCGCTTATGACACAGTTTCACTCTAGATTTATTTATTCACCACTTCCACCATTCGAAAACTTCCAAAATGACATTCCGTAATAATTATGCGCGCATGCATTCAACGTGCATTACATTGCCCTCATATATGCCAAATATTCTAGAATAACAATTCTTCAGCATGCTGATCATCTTAGAAATTTCATGAAGAGCGCTTTATTTTGAACTAAAATGACTCCATGAAATAACTGATATTACGCCTGTGCAAACTTATAAGCTGTAGTGTCTTATAGAAACAATAAAAATTGATAAAGCAAAATGCTTCCAAGTTGTTTTAAGAATTTCAGGTCATTTTTTATGAGTGAATAAATCAGCAATATGTGCAAGAGCAAGTCAAGTGCTGCAATTTTGCTCCTGCACATATCGTAAGGCAAATTTTAAGCCAAAGGATGTATCATTTTTCAAAATTGGCGAAGCAAGATGCTAAATTTGGAAGTAAATTTGAAAGCAGTTTTGGAAGTAGAAATTCTTGCAAAATGAATTGCTAAATTTTGAATTACTTAATTTAACGATTAGTTAAATTTAACCATTTTGAATTAATTTGATTATAAAAATGAGCAATGGGGTGTGTGATATTCATAGACATGTTGTTATTTATGAATTACCGAGGAGGTAAAATTAATTCTCTAACTTTTGAATAATCCCTTTTTCACACCATCACTTTAATCCAGAAATGCTAATTAAAATGCCGCAGTACCTGGCTCATATCATCTCTCTTTTTTGTTTAAAAAAGGCTGTATAGGTAGTGTTAACCATGATTTCATGTACACTAAACACATGATATTTATATGTAGATTTTGCAGATGAAATTCATAAAAAAATTTTCTAAATGCCTTCATTTTTGACGATTGCTATCTGTCCAAAGATTTAGTCAATTAGTTTTTATTAAGTATGATGTACTTTATCAAAAAATTTGAAGCCTCGAATTTAGATTCAATTTTTAAATTTTATATTTTGTGTGATATCTTGAACCAGCTTTTTCGCTTCCTCATCTGGTTTATTTTTCTAGCTACAGAAAATTTAATATGAAAATGTCCTCTGTTTTGGGGGCAATAATTTTCCTGCTTAGTCTTTTCGTTCATTTTGTCATTTTTCTAGATGCTTTTCGTACTAAATGTTTCATTCGAAAATAATTTAGTAATTGAAATGATGACATCGATGAATTTGATAATGTAAAAAGTTGTTTTCCATGGTTTCATTTGTACTTCATTTTCATTACTTATTTGCTGCAAAAATAAACAGTATTATAAAAAATAAATATTTCACTTTTAATTTTATCATTAAGTTTGTTTTGTTGTTGTTATAAACGGTTGTTTATAATCTCCTCATTTTTATTATTTCATGTCATTTACTGCAATGCTTCCATCTAAAAGCTTATTTAATATCATTGTTATTCAATTAAAATCCGGAGCTGTACAATAAAAATCATAATTTGAATAAGATAAAGAATCAATCATTCAGCTCGAACCAGCTAACATATATATACTCTCTCAACAAAGTTATGTTTTGCTTTACTGAAATCGAAATTGAACTACATTTAGGTTCTTGAGCCTTAAATTACTGAAAAAAGAATTTATATTTGATCATGAAATTTTGTAAAATCACCGATAGTTCCATTGAATCGATAAATTGAATTTTTCATTGTAACCTAGATTTGACAAGGAAAGGTACCGTGCTGGTGTATAATATGCATTTATAATACTCATTTCAAGGACAGCTAGAACCATATTTGCACAAAGTTTCTTTTTCTAAATGTAATAAGCCATTGGAAACAAGAGTTCTTCAATATAAATATCTAAAAAGTAATGCGAAGACTACAGACTGCGCTGAATTTCTTTAGGTATGAAGAAATGCAGTCCAATAGTAGAAAAGTTACATTTATTGCTTAAAACTAAATTTATAACTTCTAAATGTTAAAGATCATTGTATCTGTCATGTTAAGCAAATAGAATTGCTAAGAAAATCTCGTAAGGATGATGAATTTCATCAATAATTGTTGTCGTTTATCAATTTTTCAATGAAAATAATAATGATTATCAATAGTGACTTCGTCACTTCGTATTCTGTCATTGTTTACAATTCAATCAGTATAAAATGATTACATAGTGATGTGACATTGGCCGCACATCATCAGGTATCCTCGTTAAACATGTTACCTGATCCTTTAGCTGATCACTCTATGTTCATTTGCTTCTAGTGAATAGATAAATTAAGTTAAAGCCTAATATTTGGAAAGCGAAAGAAAGGATGTTATCATAAAACAGAAACGATCTCCTTATTGTTGAAAAATCTTGCTTCTTGAAATTTAAAAAGAAAAAAATTACGGGACTACGATGTATCATTTTGCATTATGAAAGAAATTAAGAGTAGTAGCCAAAATAAGGATTAAATAATACTTTAAAAACGTTTAAATAACTAATGTTTTACTGTGAAGCATAGCATACTTTCAACGTTTCATATAAAATTCTTTAAATATGAAATACACTGTTGAATTGTTTGTCTTCTTTTCTCATCTCGCAATGGAAAGACTAGTAATTTGATCCACAAATACTATGATAATAGAGAGTTTGAGTTAATGAAGAATTTCAATAGCTTATTTATCAACCTTTATTATAATAATGATATTAAGAGGCTCAGAAATATACGTATTGGAATTGGTATTCGCCCGAAAATATCTTTTATTGTCATTGGTAAGGAATTGTTATGGTATTCTGCAAAAAAGCTTTTAATAATAGAATATATCTGATCGATTAATTTGAGTGAACTTTTTACAATATTCTGTTTTAAATGCTGAAAATGATGAAACTTTTGTTTCATTTATTTATTTTGAAATAGCCACGGGCTACGTTCTGATGATTAGTGTACATAAGGTTGATTAGTAATGAAAGTAAGAATTAAATGTATTATGATGGAGTTTGATGATTGAGTGAAACGGGAACGAGAAAAAAACGAAATGCAGTGTGTTACTAATGTTGATGAATGATTATCTGACTTTGGATTTCTGTTTATGGCATTATTTTTATTTAATCGATTTTAAATATATTTGTTAATAAATTCTAAAATATGACGATAAAAATCGAAACACAATTAATGGTGAGCAGACCGGTAATTAATTAGTTTTTTCAAGATAATATAAGATTGCATTTTTTCCAAATACATTGTTTATCCTCTAGGAGGAGGCGATTCTTACAATAGACGAAAGTTAGCACAAAAATCCGGAAATTGGACCAAGTCTTGGGTTTTATCTTCTAAATTACTTGTTTCAAATAAAGCTAGTTCTACGGTAAAAAAAAAAACGGAAAAAACAAGCTCCAAAGCTGTTCAAAATCGTTAAAAAAGTCGTGTGAATCCGAGTAAGAATCATATATTAATCCATCTCATTTTGTCATGTATAGTTTGGACGATTAGCAGATGAGGAAATGAAGTTTGAGATTTGAATTGACACCTAAAATGACTGATTCTTTCATTTGCAGTAATATAACATCAGCAGTACCGTGAAACGTTCATAAAATGGAAAATTATAAAATGCTTTTCTGATATCTAAAGAACATGTAATGAAGTAGTTCTGATTCCAATAACCATATGACCAAAAAAAGTCCACAGATCCATTAGATCAATTTGCAGCAGTCACTTTGTCAACTTTGAAGAGTTTGCTTCAAAGTTGACAAAGTAGGACAATAGCTTCACTCCAAACTCTGGCCTGAAACATTTTTGATTTATTTCGAAGCATTTTCAGGAAAAGAAGTTGAAAAAAACATTTTAGTTTTTTAGATTTTCTACAACTTTTTGCTAGTTTGTAAAATTTCCTTAATAAAAAGAAGTGATGTGTTGGCAGCCTCAAAACAATACTAACCAAGAAAAATGCATCAAAATATTAATGCCTCAGTTTTGACATATTTCAAGAGCATTTACAATACTAATGAAAAAAGAGAGATTAGATTATGAATTGAACGGTGATATTCGAAATAAATCGTCCTTTACTGTTTTGTCAATATTAATCAACTTCAACTGAATTATGCTAAATTTAGACTTCGCATTGGATCTTATTACCGAATCTGTCCATTTTCTGGAATCGCCAAAAGCTTGAATTGACAAAACTGGAGTTGTCCATAAAAAAAAATCTTAGCAATTGCCAGGACGAAAACAATAAATTCGATGTCACTAAGGATGGAGACTTATGACTGGAAAGCATAAAATTATAAATTATGAAATCAAATCACTAAGATATACCGTTCATTCATTAGTAATTAAACTACATAAGATTTCGTTATCATTATTTGTCTTGCTAGCTACAAATTGCTAATTGGAAGAATTATTTTTTAATTATTTGACATTGAGCAATGAGAAGGTTTGGTTGAATTTCATGAATCTAATTGAATTGACGACTTAATCGAAATTAAAAATCTATTTATTGAGCATTTTAGGATGATTCAGAGCAATAATAAAACCAGGCATATCCTTTAATCGAAGAAGCACATTTGTAACATAGAAGGCTTGGATTAGATTGCAAGAAAATGATGAAATTAGGCTTTTCTCTATAGCTCTATATAGCATATACTACTGGACTAACGGCAATGATTCCATGTCTTCAAAAAAATTTCAGCAATCGATAGGAACGTTAGTTGATAAATTTTCCGCCTAGCCAAAAGCAACTATTAGCTCAGATAAGTACAAGTAAATAAACAGACACATATACACACATCGGAAAAGATGGAGATGTTTTGAGCGGTAATAAAATAAAACAACTTGGTAAACATCGGTTTTATTGCAGGACGAGTTAAAAATCCATGCTGAAGATGGGTTCGATCCATCATTTTATATGTTTTGTACTCCTGCTTAATTATCATTTTCAAGGCAATGCATATAGACAGTAGTGGATGAAAAGACAGCAAATTATTCCTCATACAGTTATCCCTTACTTTATCGCCTTCTCCAAAGCTAAAAACATCACTTATTGATCGATCCTGGACCCCGGATCTATTCAAATTAATAAACAGTAACGTCCATTTTCTCAGATTAGTTTAATTGATGAATCATACGACCGTGATTATCTGTTTTCAGTTTCAGTTAAATTTCATTTTAATTAACTATTTTTTCAGGTCAGTTTTTATACATCGCAACAATGAAACATGGCTTTTATTTTATTTTTTCTCTACTTATTCTTTCTTTAAAACCAAAAGATATAATTTCATAAATTTATGTGCAATGAATACAACAAAAGTATCTGGAATATCTGAATGAATTACAGGATATAGATATTATGCCGTTCACGTATTTTTGCTGTGAAGGTGATCGCCGAAATGCTGAAAGCAGCATATGGCTTCTCAAGCACTTCTCAAAATCAATGTGATAAGTAAAACAAGGAAGTGATCACGGCAGCAAGGAACCAAATTGACAGGTTACTAAAAATGTTCGTGCTACTCTCGGTTGACTCTAGACACTATGGCGTTATATACAGTTGCTTGCAAAAACCGAATAAGCTGGAGATAACATTGAGTGCTTCCGTTCTTCAGAATGGGAACAAAACGATCAACGACATGTTACAGAAAAGCTGGATCGGTAAAATAAATGATTTTGCTAGATTACTTCTAATGCACCAGTGCGTTCAGGAACTTAACCGGATACAGGAGTAATAGTGCCTTCTGAGAAAATTCAAATTGATCATTTGTGATCTGTGATTGATCGTTGGGCACCATCGCTTACAGTGTAGGGAATTTTGCCTTCTATGTATCCATAATATGGATTAAGATGATATTTATGATGTTTCTCTTAATCAAGGGAATGTTAAGAGGATGCGAAGTTGGAAAAAACAAATGCGAAAAAAGCGAAATTAAGCCAATGCTACCCGAAATATGCATGGAAAACAAGTAATCGATACTCAAATTATTAAGGACATTCAGGAGGTGATATCTTTTGAAGACATTTTTAAAATCTTAATTTAACGCTATTTTAGAAAACTTCGTCTAAAACTGCTGTTACGATTTTATGCGACTTGCTTTTGGCACTTTTAGGGATAGTCATGTAACATGACCTTGGTAATGTGGAAAATCTATATTTTAAATGCAGAAATTTACACAATTCCATTTCATGAAAATTTTATTCTATTTGGTCTGGTATTGTTGATATATCAATAACAAATGGAAACTAGTTATAAAATCCTACATCTTTTCCACTATTCCTCATTTCATAAAAAAATTGAGCAGTCCCGAACTCAACTTAACTAACAACAATTAAACGACCTTCTCAATGGCAATGCTAACCTTTCAGCAACCCATCATTGTAAAGGGCAAAAGGGTACGCACCTATTTGCAAGCTATGTCAGTCATCGACGTCGCTAGCATTGCTGCAGTTATACCGAGATTTGTGACCTCTTTCTCTTTCTTCTCATCTATTGCAACCTCCTGTTGAGCCGCACTCTCTCCTACCGCCCACATACTCATCTACCCACCCACCACCCACACACATCACATTGCTCTTCAGAGTGAAAACGTTGTTGACCTCTGAGCGTTCCTCCGTATGCACATTATGAATTGCACTTCCTTTCTATCAGGTACTCAGCCTTGTCATCCAACGATCCATTGAGAACAGATAGTACGCTGTGTTGACATATCTGCGCCTACTCTCTATGCGTATCACAAAAGTCGCAGAAAATGAATCATACGTTCACGTCTGTCACTGTCGGACGTAAGGCCCAGCCAATAATAACTTGCAAGATAAGCTGATTTATTACCTGTGTACGTGTGTTCGTCAGTTTGCGCGGGTGTGCGTGCATGCAGGTGTATGCAGATGTGCGCGTACGTGTACGAATGAGATGTTCGCGTGCGTGGAGGCTTCATTACAATGATAGTGGGTGTGTGTCTAGTTGTCTGTCTCCTCTCCTTTGCACACTCCTCCCTCCCCAACATAAACGCTTAGTGGAGAGGGAATTGCAGCTTTTCCTTGAACGTGGGGAGATGCTCTCTGCTTCTCTTCTTCTTCCAGACACTCTCGTCCTGTATCGAGGTCTTGTTTCTGTTACGCTCGTTCACTCTGCCTGTTCGCCTGTCTATCCTTCCTCATACGCCATTGGTTTTCTCACAACAATGCACTCGCATCCTCCTGCCTCCTTCGCAACTCGCCCACACGTTCTCGTTCTTCTATGGTTTTCCAAACTGCGTGCTGGTCGTGAGGCCCACGCGAGCTGACCCTTGACCAGGTTCTATTTCTGTATTACTCCTCTACTTTTATCAGGCTTTCTCAGGGTTATCCCTTGCATTATCACTTGTTAATCACTTGTTACTTATCATTCCGTACTTAAATCTCTCACTGTAAATTCAGCTGTACTTTCCTAATTCATTTGTCCCCGCTTTATTATTGCAAAAACGCACAGTTAATCAGTATATTCTATTGTCCTTTACGAAATATCATTAGAATGGTTGTTTCTTAAAGCATTCTTCACTGCGCCTCTCCTCTCCCAATCACTTTTCAATTTTAAATGGATGTGTTTTGCCGCCTTCTTCAGTTCATATTTGCTTATACTCAGTTTAAATATGTATATCTCATCAATTTGTCGCATTTCGACTTCGTAGCGCTATTACTTGTGTGACGCATTAACCTATAATAAGGTTGGTATGACAAGTTGGCATTTCTGTTAATATCGAGTCGATTTAAAATGATTTCGCGTTTCAAATCGTATGAATTGTTTTTTCTTCATCTTGAACGACTGTTTGTTAGTAGGTTTCCATGCAAACTCTATGTCAGCATGTAGTTCTATTTACATCTCACTGTTCAAAATCGATTACTTCCATTCTTCAGTTAACTTTAGTTAGCGTCAATCATCCTAAAGTTAACGAATGTTGATTTTCATTACTTTGCTCGTCAATTGCTCATTCACCTGGCCTTCCTGTAATTTATCTGTTTTAATGTATAAGCAATTATGTGGATGTACGTGGATGAGGACGGTTGCATATGTGGGTATTTGAGTGTTAACATGAACTATTGGTTTTAAATATTCTATGTGTGGGACTGTACGGTAGAATAACATGCTATATCGGGTAACATGTAGCATCGAGGATGTGTCCTCGATACACATGTGTGTACTAATGAAGCGATTCTAAACAACATGTTCAATTTCATTTCCTCATCAATTCTCTATTTCTTTCCTGCAATAAATTAAAGCATAATTAATCTTTACAATTAGATCTATTCAATTATTCACTACGGGGCTGCTCCAGTGGTTATGAATTTCACTACTGGATAGGTTCCCGATGGTTTTAATCATTTCTCCTTAAGCGCTAACATGTATCAGTACCTTTTGGTCATTTAAAACTTATTGGAATTCACTTGTATTTCGAATGCTTTTCGATAAAAGTTACGATTGAATTTCGTAAGAGGATGAATTAAAAATGGTGGCATTAAATCTCTCGAGTGATCAAACTACTCGCATGCAATCTCATACTACTTCCTCTCAGGTCTTAAGATTATTCGAAATTTCATGGTTTCGATTGCTGCTTCTAGCTTGTGATAGTCTCCTTTTTCTTCAATAATTTTAGCTACAAGTTGAAGAAATTTTCCTGACGTTAATGTTGGTTGGGAATGACGGATTAATAATATTTACCGGAAATCTCGTTATGAAAACATGCATTTGAAGCCAGAAAAGTTAAATCTATCATGTTTATGTCATTTTAAATTTATATAGAGAATAGAAATCATGGTGAGAGTTTGCTGTTATGAAAAGACTGGCAGTAAAAATGTACTTTCTGTGACGGCTTCTTATGCCATGTGACTGTTCTTTGGAAACAATAATTTGCGCAGAAGTTCCCAGCAAAAATAATCTTAACAGATATATTTGAGATACCCAAAAAATTCCAGTGGATCTTGATTCTTTTTTTTGTGCCAAAAGTCATTGGGTCAAAATTCGAAAGCTATATATGATAAGTAATTGTTTAAGGAGTCCGACTTGCAGGATTTTGGTAAATAACTTCCGTATTTAGTCCGTATATGGTTGGAAATAATGGAATTCACTCGTTTCTTATTCACCTCTGTGCTCTTCTGAGTAAAAATCAGTGTTTCTTCGCAGAGAATATCAATATATGTCGTTTTTTAAGAACTGCGTATAACGCAGTTCTTAAAGCCAAAAATATATGTCGTTTTTTAACTGCGTTAACTACGCAGTTCTTAAATTTTTTGGGAGTTGTTAAATTTTTCAGCTCCAAAACTAGACCCATTGATTTTGCTTTTCGATTATGTTGAAATTATTAAGTTTGTTGAAATCTATGATTTGGGCGTGCATCGTCGCAAGATTCATCCATTTTCAAGATCCGTTATATTTGTGGTGCAACTGACCACATCATCACAATATGACCACTGTAGGGAATAAGAACGAAATAAATTGGTCACATCAAGTGGCTTTCGAAACTTCCCGAAGATTTTGAAAGTTTGCGAGGTGGGCATCTTGAGCATGTCTTGAATATCTTGAATGATGATTATCGGATTGGATATGTCAGATGGTTGGAATGTGATTTATTATCGCATCCTTTTTGTGCCTTACACATAAGATTTAGTAAGTGGTGGATTAAGACTTGAAAAGTATTAGTCGAAGCCTGGTGAATTTTTAGGTGAAACCAACAGCTGAGTTGGGCCATATTGGGCAGTGATTTTATGTTATATAAAGATAATTTCTCACTTATTTTTAGCTACGAGAATGAGTCAATTAATAAGCACATCAACAAGGATACCAATGCAGACAGGGAAAGACAATGTGTCATCATCAAGGATACCATCAACCAGTGATTCATCCGTGGGTGCAAAATTATCAATTCCGTCATTACGAGGTATCTTATATCCTTTCTCAATCTTCTTGAAAGCACCATTATCATCTGAAAAAGAATAAAACCAAAGACAGAGTATTTGATTGGCAAATGGAAGAGAAATATGATGAAGGAAAATAAAGAAATTTAGCGAGTATTTGGAAAACTGATAAATGTAGTTCTGATTTGTAGGGTCCGCAACTGAAGTTTGGTTTGATGAATGCGCTGTGAAGAACATGATGTTTTATTAAGCTGATGATACTTACGAAACATATTTCAGGGCGTGCTGGACAGAGTAAACCAGTAGTGTCGTTGAACAATTCGAATACGGAACCTGTAGGATTAAGTTTAAATGATAATGATAGCCTGAAAACACCAACTGCTTTGGGCAATACTGATGTAACACTCAAAACTCCAACTGTACTTGGTTCACCCACTAAAGGACCGCTTTCTGCTGGTACACATGTGGATGAACTCATCACTCCCAAACTCAACCTGAATAATTTCTCTGTACCAAACACTCAAACGCAAGCTTTCTTTGGTGAACATGAACCACTACTCACAGGCATCTCTTTACTTAGTTATTGTCATGAAATTTTTTTAATTACAGTGATTACACAATTTGCAGTGATTTCGTTAAATAGTATTAAAGATTAAAGTTTTGAAATTCTGGCTTAAGTGGGTCCCAACATCCGATTTATAATAAGTTCTGTGCAGTGACATTGTATCTTATATTCTTCCTAACTTTCCAGCGAACATTGAGATTTCAACAATTTTGCCTCAGTCGTCGTTCGCTAATGTGACACCAGGTATTTTTTAACCTTGATTCATGAGTTTTCCTTTTCATTGCAGTTCCAGTTCATGGTTAAGGATATGAAGTATTAGATAATCTAAAGTTCAGGTGGTGCAGCAGCAGGATCGAACGGAGCGCAAAACGACATTAGAGATCAAAAGGCTACAATTACCTTCAAAGGAAGTATCAGTACAAGTATTAGTACATTTGGCTCACAAAGTGTTAATTCACCCGGCATGTCAATTTTGTTTTAAGTCTATTACGAGCTTCATAATTTTTACTCCTGAATAGCTTTTTCGATTAATGAGATGTCTCGCGTTTTTTGTGGAACAGTTTAGTTAGTTCAGAGGCTAGAAACTGAGTATAGAGTGAGCATCTTTATGTTTCATATTGTTACTAATTCATTGAACAGTTTTACATCTTGAATTGAGAGTAACTAATCGAAATATAATAAATAGGAAATATCGGTTACTTCATCTTTGATCTTCAGATGTACTTTTACTCATTGTTCAAATCTTTTCTTTAAATGTACTCCGGACCACTATTTTATCTCATTTTGCAATGTTTAGTCTTCTAGTTTCATGAAATTTGTTATGCTGCTAACTGTAATTTTTCAACAGTGTTGCAGGTTTAAGTGCAACAATGTTTCAATTTTCTCCCCTTGTCGAACATTTCTTGCAATCCATCACAAAATCTCAGCAAACAAATACTAATTTACCTTTACTAGTGCTCGATCCGAATGCAAAAACACCCAGTGCTACCGATACATCCGATCTGTTCAAAGTAATGCTCCCGTTTCATAATTTATCAAAAATGGTGATTAAATTTATGGATTCAACTAAAATGTACTTTTCAGGTATTTCAAGATAACAAGGACGCAGCGAATCTGCCAGCCGTTGGGATGCAGCAGTTATCCACCGCTCAGCCTTCCGTTTCATCAGTTTCTGGAACTCATCAAGTTCTCTCAGATTATATACAAGTAAGTACGAGTTTATGCTTTAGTTTAGTCATCAGACAAAATATTTCATAAAATCATGTTTAAATTTGTATAAAAATTCGTCAGAATAAGTAGCAATTAAAGAATTTAACTTCCCTCAAGCGCAATTAGTAGGTGTTCTACTTCTGAAAAATTGGACCTCCTTTGTGGATGTCTATTTATGTGTCTTAGTTAAATGTAAAATAGTTGTAGTGATTTCATTTTGAATGTTTGTAACTTTACGTTGACTGAACAGTATTATTTGTGGAACATTTGTTTACTCATGTAAAATTATTGCGAATTTAGTTTATATAAATTCACGGAATTTCGAGCTTGCGTAGTAAGATCAATATTCGGTTTGTATCTATCGCTTCGTTGAATTAAGTAGTATGAAATTTAAGTAGTTAGTTTGAAACGTATGTTTGATTTCTACCGTCCAAAGCTGTGTCGTTAATTTTTTTAATACATGATACACGTTGTTACAGTATACAAAGTGAATTTAATTTATGAAAATCTCGATTCAAATTTTTGAAAACAGATTGGTCGTACTGGTAATCGACGCACAACACCTCCACCAGGACCATCTGGTGTACGACACAATGGATTCAGTTCAGTTACAACGCCCAGTTCTGCGTGTTCAGGGATACACTGCACTCAACAAGATGCTCGAATCAGACCTGTGGTATCTACGGGTGCCTCGGAAATGACTTCTTTACCAGCTCAAATACATCAACACAAATATCATGTTATGGTTCATTCTTTTCACAAATAACCAGCAGGTTTTGAGTGGTATTCACATGTAATTTAAACCCTGTAGCATATTACATTGAAATTACATTATTCTGTATGTATTTCTGATAACTCAGCAATATACGACTTCGTAAAAGTTCGTGGCAGCAACATGAAATGATAACACTATATGAAATAGTGTAAAGAGACTAATAGATTTTTACGCTTATTTATGTTGCCTAATAGATTGAAAAGATTCATTCTTGAAGAATTTATTTAGTATTCCACTACACATAAATCATTGCGTTTTTTGTTTGAAGACTTTTATTATGATAACTGAATCTGCTTCATTTTTCACTAAGGTACACTTGTAGATTCACCAGAACATTACCTGTACAGTGAGTCCAGTAGAAACGCAAAACAGCAACCAGTCGAACTCAGCAGGCGCGCAACGAACTTCTTATCAAACGTGCAATTTTTTGACTTGTAGTGGTGTGCCTTGTCCTTCCCGAACATTACAAAGCCAGGCTTCTATCAGCGGGGCATCAAATATCTATCGGTTTGTCTATTCAAATTCTCCTCATTTTACTTTAGAGAGTTCGAACTGTTATTGTTTTAAAATTGCTGTTTTTTTAGCCTTGTTAACGGAATTGATGTCATTAGGCTTGTGTGCAGCTAGTTATTACATCTAACTTCAGATCGGATTTCCAGCCAAAGCCAGAACCTGCAGACGAGTATTACCAGGCACCTTTATCTTTTGCTCAATCAGGACTGCAATTCGCACAGAGTAATTACTTGTGAAATTGAACTTTCACCCTAAAATTAAAACCGAAATCGGGATGAGGTTGGATAAAGATTGTCACGTCAGTCTGTTTCTACTGTTTATACCTATTGTTTACTTCGACCGGTTATTTTATTTGAACAAGTATTACGACTGTGACCAGTTCTATTTACAGCCAGTCCGGTGAAAGTCAGTAAGGGCACTAATCGTCTTCTTAAACCGCCATCACATGAACGACCATATAAATGTCCAATAGAGAACTGTGATCGACGTTTCTCGAGGTCTGATGAACTGACAAGGCATATCAGGATCCACACAGGACAAAAGCCTTTTCAGGTGAAATTTAGTGAAATAATGTGGAATGTTCCGAACTTTACTGATATTAAATCTCTGGAGTAATCAGGAAGTAGGTGAAAATTTAGTTAGAATCGATAGCTGAAATGGAAGTAAATTTTCCGTCACTCTTACTGAAGTGTTTTTGGGCCAGGGAATGCAAGCCTGACTTTGTTTTCAAATTTCTCAAAAATGTATAATGGTAAGAAGCTTGTGATTTATAATAGTTCATGGAAGGCGAGTTTTGAAGTCATATTTTGGCGCTGTTTCAAAGCAATTCTTAAAAAAAAAGCTGAGATTATTTGCATCCTTGCAACCCCAGAGATCTTAAGTTATAATTACAGTGTCGTATATGTATGCGGGCATTTTCACGAAGTGATCATTTGACAACGCATGTACGAACGCACACAGGTGAAAAACCGTTTAGCTGTGATGTTTGTGGGAGGAAATTTGCTCGTTCTGATGAGCGCAAACGGCATACAAAAGTGCATACTAAGCAGAAGGTAATCTAATAAAATAACACGCTAAGTTGGAACTGCTAGGTGCCTGTGCATTCATTTTATGTTTTCCATACTAATTTGGAACTTTTAGGATGTGTAAATGGTGACTAGTGTGAGTAAGGCTCAGAAAATGCTATTTGCATAAGGCGCAGTAATTAATGCCGAAATTGAAAATAAATGTGTAATGGGGAAACTTTCCGATTTGTTATTCTACTGCAAATTGTGGGAATTTTAATGGTTGTCATTAAAGCGGGGTTCATTCCAAGGCCAGTATTGCAGGAACATCGACGTATCAATATTGCCGATTTCAATAATGGTGGCGACTTCAAACTGCATATGTGAATCAGACGTAGAATTATGTTTGCATCAATTTACTGTTCAAATTCTAGTCCATTTGAGTTATCTCATCTCTGTTGCTCATTTTTTTTATCGACGAAGTCCATTTTGAGTCGATCAATTTTGTCTCTCACTACGCGGTAACACTGGATCTCTTAAAGCGTCTAAATGGACGAACTCGTTTGAGTTTAAACTGCAACGAGAATCAAGACTTGGAACAGGTTGTCTTAGGAAAATAGGATTTCATAGATTTGAACAGTGGAAGGCATGCATAGAACGAACTTACCCACGTGTATAACAGCTAGGAAGCTTTGTTCATTCTTTGCATCTTTTAATCTCTAACTATGCACTTGGGAACGTCAGGGTTTCTTTTGCGCAGTAGTTTCATTTATTGTGTTCGTTCCACCACTTAGGGAAATTCGTCGTGAGATCCAATTGGTACGGAGTCAGGGTACATTTTAGAAATATTGCTTTGGTAAAACAGTTGTACTCAGTGTTCATTATGATGTAATTTTACGAGAAAAGAATTAAATGTTTGACGAAACATTGTAGGTGTAAAGGACATTTTTAATGCAGTTGGAACGCAGCTCTTACTTCTAGCCATTTAGCGAATGTCATCCTTCTACTCGTGAGTGCCGGAAGGGCCTAGTCCAAGTTTGCACTTGACAAAATGAGTCAGGCAAACTGCTACCCTCTGCATGGCTCGAAAAGGTGTTCGATAAGCAATGAAGATAATAACGCAACGAGTCGCTTAAGATGTCGATTCCCCCTGCTTTGCATTAACGTTTGCTAGAGTGCTAGGTTCATCGACTGATTTCGCTTCACATAAACTCGTCGACCTCTCTTACATCAGGGTGCCATCCCATCCCTTAACATCCACTACCCATCTAGGAATCTAGCAAACAGATTCCTGGATAATTGTTTCCAGGAAGGTCGTAGATACCGAGGTTTTAGGGGTCTTTTTTTTCAACTCTACACTGAAGAAAAACACTTGAGTGTTAGAGGGCGTGGCTAATCCACTGGTGTCGCGGAAATATTTCTTGCCTCCTTCCATACCACCTAGGACTTCTCGGAACAATAAATGTGTATTAACTGGCAGTGCGCTTGAAATCGAAAAAGTGACCCTTGGTTCCTTTTACAAAAACTAATCGGAACAATAGAGTACACCACCACAGTAATTATTATATGCCACAAATATATCCAGGAATTCTGGTACTTAAGGCTGTAAAATGTTGAATCGAAATGAGGACAAAGAGGAAAAAAGAACAGTACACCATTAGGCAAAATTCACTGACTTTGGAATGAGGAATCAACGTTTCCTACAGATGTTCAAAACGCAGATCCTGGATCTATTCCGGAACTTTCCTGTAAATTCTGTAACGTAGCGATGGCTGCGTTTTTGCCTTCCTTCGCTATTTAAATTCGCCTAGGAATACTTAAATCAATACTTTAAAAAAGGGCGGACGGACTATTCCATCTTTTTTTGCAAATTTTGGAGTAAATTTTGCACATAGATCCATGCCATTAGATCTTATTCATAAGTCACTAACGGATTTTCCCGCAACTTTTACATCCATTATTCCTACGCCAGATACATTATCGAGACCAAAAATACCAAAAATATGCAAAGAGTCAAAATAGAAAACATCAAATAGAAAATATCGAATCGTACTATTAAAGCTGGAATATGTGTGAACAAATCACTAATGCGTTAGCACACACCTGAAGGATGTAGCAAATGGCCTTTCACTACGTGTATCACAAGATCATTAGTTTTGCAAATTTCTGGAAACGGCTTGTGGAAAAGTTCAAAAATGGAGAGACTTATAACTGTATATATGGACGACTGACAACACCAAAGCACATTTTTTCATTTCACCTATAGGAAAGATGAAACATCCAGCTCTCACTATTATTAAATTATGAAACATTAAAGCAAGCAAGAAAGAGGGAATTTGATGTCATTAGCTTCTCATCCAGATATTTTCTGCAAGCCATCGGATTAGGTAGCTTCTGAAAAAAAAATTCAAACCGCGCATCGTTTTGAAAATGATTCGGAGAAAAAATTATCTAGACGGAAACTGAGCATAATTTCTGTCTCCACGAAACTTTTATTTCAAAAGTCTTTAGAAACTCCCATACTTATCAAGATGGAAAAATGACAGCCCTACTCTACTACGTACGAGAAAAGTGAAATAATGGTAACAAAAATGAAATAGGAAATGCGACGAACCGTTCGATCCAAGGTCATTTTCATCTGCACTTTTCAATGCTATATCATCTTGAACAGTATCGTTATTGGAGTTCATATTATTTTGCTTTCTTGTTGACTCACTGGAAATCTTCGCAACCGTGTAATGAGAATCCTGAGAAATGGCGTCCGTCCGGTTCATAAGCCGGTGTTTATAGTACACTTCCGTTGATTGAATTTGTCCTTCAAACGATATGAATATCTTAAAGTCTTGAAAAATGCATAGTTCACAGACTCGTTATTTACAAGTCAGAGACATTTTGAAGAGTGCAAAAGGTTGCAGTACCAGTTTTTAAGTCAAACGAACGACCCTTAACGCTCTGTAAGTCCTTGTCCAGTGGTGAAAACCAATTAACCAATGAACTCATCAATGGAATCTGCCTCATCATACCCTATAATAAATTTTGCTCATAATTATTCAACTATTAAAAATCAAAATACTAGGTGGATTAAGTGGTAAATGACCAGTTTTCGACCATATCCAGTGCACAGCATGGAACTTCTCGGAGAGAAATTGCACTAAATGTTGGAATTGTTTAGCACGAGATGTATGTTATTAACAGTGCCGAAATACGTAGCATATATGAATTATATTACTTCTTGCATAAGCCGCGCATCATTCTCGCGTTTCAAATCTTTATTTGCTGCCTCGATTCCCCGACGTATCATTTCAGCCAAACGGTCCATATACTGCAGTTAAAGCAATTGAAATATTAAACATTGGTGATTTAGAATAAAATAAGCCATTTTACGCTTCAATCATATAAATAAATGTTTAAAAACATGAAAACATGAAGCAAGAATAAGTTTCACCAGTTACAATAACGTAAATCAGTCCAATTGTGGAGACGTAAGCGTCACGATAACGGAAATATATTTGAAGAAGTCAACGGCAGTGATTTTGGTGTGAATGAACATTGTCAAAGCATTTTATTTTCGAGTACCAATCAAAAAACGATCATTCGCCCAGGGATTTTACCTTCTGTGACTGTTCGATTTCTTTCCCACGCTCAACAACGAAATTGACCAGATCCGCGAGATCTTTGTCATCAGAAAGCATACCAAATTTAACACATGAAACACTGTACACCGGACTTTCGCCAGAAGAGAATGCTGTATCTATGAATCGCAAAGAATGCACCAATTCCAGGTTCAAATGAGATACCTGTGCAAAAAGTTTGATGAAAATAGTTACTAGATACCCAAGCAATACCAATATTCATGATCTTATTTATGCAAAAAAGGGATTTTTTTTTAGAAAAGGAAGATAAAAAAACCTGTTGACGCTGTTTTTCGTTCCATTCATCCATTGGAGTTTCCTTCACAATGGAAGGTATATAACTGAAAAAGAAGGTACGGATATACTCAGGAAACAATATAAAACTGAGAATAAAAGATTACTACAACCAAATTAAATTGTTTTACGAAAAAAATTGACCCAAATTTGATAATGTTGAAGAAAAGCAGCTTTTGTTGGCTATTTTCAGTACTAATTCGAAAATTGGCTATGAAAAATCCTATCTTTAAATAATTACACTTCCTATTTATAGCGCTATTTCCAACGGATCGTTAAAATATCACGATATAGAAACAACATCAGTCGTAGATAAATGGTTCATATTAACAAAGAATTACCAGACAGCTCCAACACCAGCCCATTTACGAACTGGTGCTAGCCCTAATGACGGATATTTCGACACAATCTCCTTGAAACGTTTCTTGGCAGTAACAGTCGATTCAATTATTGCCAGCGCATCGGAGAGTTGCTTGATAAATTTATGCACATGATCCACGTGAATACAATTCAATGAAAATACATCAATCGTAAAAAGTATGAACAAAAATACAAAGCAATAAAATAAGAAATGATCAAAAAAAAGTGATGGACACTTCCAGCAAGCAAAAAAAATTTCAACAATATTGAAAGAGAAAGAATATTATAAATTTTAATAGTGCAGAAATCTATTCAAATCTAAGTTATATAGGGGTCGCAGATGTATACCATAACAGGTAACCTGCTATGGACGTAGAAAATTTAAAAATTCTCCCAATACAACATTTTCAAGAAATGCAAAATATAAAACTAACAGGCAGAGTTTTCTAACGGACAGAAGCGAAATGCAATGTGATGCGAATCACCAACAGTTATTACCTGCAACGCAAGTTGGTGACAATCTGATATCGGTCCCTGACTGAGCTGAAATACTTCACATTAAGAAATATAGATTTTCAAAGAAATTAGAGAGATTTATGGGGAGAAACCGAGATCATGTGAACCTTGAAAATTAAACAACAGCCACTTGGAGCTATATAAGCACAATGACAACAGGATAATAAAAATCCGGAAGCAGTCGGACAAATTCGGAAAATCACCCAAAAATTCAATGAATTAGCATATTCTGCTGGGTCGTCGATATCGTTATCAGATGTTGTTGAAGAGTCATTGGCAAATGTGTCATCCGCATCGCCCGAATTTACATAGTCGTTTGTCACAGTCACGAAAGAACTTCCATTAATAGCTATGGGAATCTTATCCTGCAAATTACTTATTTACTAATAACAAGAGGAACGATTCATATGGAAAGTCAAAATTCTTCGAAAAAAAAAGGAAAAAGATGATGATTGCTGACAGAACGTTGTGCAATGTTTCATCTTGTTAATATAGATAAGAGAACTTTACCTTTGGCAAGAATAATTTTGGAAGTAAAATATAAGAAAAAATAAGAAATTTATTTGTATAAGAGATCTAATAAATGATTTTGAAAGCTCTGGCACAGTTACAATCAAGTTCTGATAAAGGATTAAAAAATGAATAAGTACGAAGTACTCAAACTCAGCTCCTATTTGAATTTATTGAGACAAAGGCCTTCCTCGGCAGCTCTGTAATATTAATCAACACCTGACGAAAAAAGATATTTCAGAAAGTTTTATTTTATAATCTAATATAACTGGTAGATATTAGCATGAGAGACAAATAAAAAACACAGGAATTAAAGTTACTTCTCGACATACTGAGATAATAATACTGGTTCTACCGTAATTATAAGACATAAGATTCCTGAAATCTTATCAATAATTACGAATTTTTTATGATAAGATAAAGCGTAATTTCGCTGAGAGCTGTAGAACTAACTTTTTTAACTTTTTTCAAGTCTGGGCACCTGTACTTGAAAATCAGAACAATGGGAGGTGTACAGATGCCTTTGCAAACGCGATTTGCAAATTCGCTGGGATTTTCAATACCAAGAATTTCGATCTGCGGAAAAGCTGTCAAACCTCGAAGCATTACTTTGCTCTGCAATATTGAGAATAGCTCAAAAAATTATAATAAAAACATGAGTGTAAAAATCTACCCCCTCAAACATACAGAATCAATTCAAACCAAGAAGTATGCATCCTCAATGGTATCAGTAATCTTGCAGGCTGTTAAATGGTGGTATGCGATCCACCATGGCAATACAGCCAGTTTTTCGTGATATAACGGCTTGTAGTTATCAACAGATCGATGGAATGTCTGCAAAGGAAAACTCGAAGATTTAAAGACATATGATTCCAATTTTGAAGCACATGATGATATAGTGTAAGAGTTAACCTATGTTCCCTAAAGGCATCCGGAAATGCATATGATGAAGTACAAAATGATAAAGATGAAGTACAAAATGATAAAGCCTTGGATTCTTGTATTTTAAGTATAGCAGGGCAAATTCTTGAAAGCTCATTGAGAAACACATACAATAGCGGGTGCTGCTGGTATACCAAGCCATAACGCAAGTGGAGCCGTGAAACTATCAACTTGTGATAACACGTGTACTAGCATTTCGGATGGTTCCTTCATACACAGTGCAGCCAAACCCTAAAAAAGCGAAATTGTCAAAAGAAAAAAGACTAGAAGCTAGAAAAAATATAACAAACCTGCCCAACAACATGTATCCAGAATTGAGTCTTGCACTTTCTTATCTCCAAAAGACGGCTTATGATATCATTCTGCCCGAGAATTGATGATCCAACGACTCCAATCACGATCAGCGGTTTCTTTCCAGCACCAATGTCATCATCAAGCCGTTTTTCAAATGCGACGTGATCCTGGTATCAACCATCAGGATGGAAAGGATGTTTTACAAATATTCCAGATTAGCAATGCTTAATGTAGCTTTGAGCTCTAGACGACTTCAAATTTCGGACTGAAAAATATTTCAAATTTGAAAAATATTCAAATTTGAATGAAAATTTTACGGTCTGTACGAAATGTGGTGCAAATCGTTTATCAAAACCTTCATCTAAACCTCAAAACTTTGATTTTTGAATCGGTCGGATTCAAATGTTATGTACGAACAAGTTAAGGGAACAATCAAAGCTCATACAATTCGGCCTTCAATGTCTGCAAAATTTCCATCTGACTTCTTCAAAATGACAATATCTCCAATCAAGTATTCAGTGGACAGGTATGAAGTAAGATCGATGTGCAAAGCAGGTGAAATATATACCACCGGTGGGCCCTCAAAAATAGTGCAATAACTAATTTTATTTATTTGTTTGGAATTTTTGGGAAAAAGATATTTTTCTATAAAAGAAAAAAAACTAACCATTTCAAGAAAGACGCGCCATCCTTTCAAGTAATAATCGGAACCGTATGTGTCAAGCAATGCAAGACGAATTGCATAACCTGAAGATCTAGCTTTATAACAAACACAAATAGCTTCGCAGCATTTAAATGGTTAAACACCTCACTGATTAGACAAGTAAATTTAATTCGTCATCAAGCCCTCAGAAAGAGTCACAATTTAATTTTCATTTTATAATTTATTTAATTCCAACTATTAGCAATGAGATGTAGGAATATGCTTTCTCAGCACTAAGCAATTTGGACACAAATTTCAAACACAGAAATGAACGAACCAATTTCTGTTTTGAACGAATTTGAGGATACGGAATCATACTCGGAGCAGTGCAAATTATTGTTGGGTGTACGGAAGAGTGTGCTAAGTGTTTGCGACGTACTACCATAAAGCCATGAAGCAATATATTGCTTGTGATGAATTCCAAGCAGATTAATATAACTTTTGAGGGATGAGCTGATAACCAACGTGCGTCCCAATTCTGATAAATGTGAACTAACAAGGTGACCCCTAAAATCTATTTTATAACTGGTTATATCACAATGGAAAAATAATTTTAAAAGAATGAAAGCAATCACTGAAACATTACCTTAGTCTATTATTGGTAGTACGCGATATAATGCTGATAACGCTGTCACTCAAAGGATTATTTCTTACGGATCAGTAGTATTTCGTATCGCAGTGGAACTTACTAATAGTGCAGCCTGCATAGGATATGACACTATATAGTACCTGCGTGAGATCATGAAATCTGATCCATTATATTTCAACAAAAACGATAGGACACGATGGACAATCCCTGAGTAAGGTTCCCCCACAGTTCATTCACTGTTTACAACTTAAGAAGCAAATGAAGTTATGTATGGGATTCTTGCGCATTCTTTCTGCTTAAAAGCCTTTATGCATATGCGCTAATTGTATGCTCCATTTTCATCTTCTAAATCTAGCTCCGTTATTTATTCCCTATTTTTTGCTCGTGTTCAATCCACTTGTTACTTTGTGCTTAGTTGCTATCCACCATCTATTCCTGTTTAAAATACTTCTTATCGTCATCCGTGACTTGTTTACGTTGTGTCGTACAAACAATCACGAACCATCAAAACTATATGCACAACATTATGTGCGGATCAAGATAGAAAAACACTTATGTAGCACTAAAAAGCACATGAATATTACGAGATCATTTCAAAATAACCACTTTTGGAGAAATTCTGAAGGTGTTGAACTTCTTCCATGATCTTTTACTTCTTTGTTGATCCATTCATCAGATTGGATCAACTGCTCCAACTGTTGAAGAATCCGGCTAATATCACTACCAGCATTGGATACTCGTCCAGTGCTCTCTTCCATTTTCTTGACATTGTTCAAGCCCTTAACAATATATACCGTTCATTCGAGCATCCAAAAGAAAGGAACTTACCAGAGAAAAGAACCTCTATTAAGCGACTTTTTTAAAAAAGTGATAAAATAGTTACATTTTCATTGAGAGCGCAAGCAAGTCGTTCCAAACCAGATCTTTCAAAAGCATCGCTGTTGTCTGCATTTACAAATGAATCTTTTAATGAGCCATTGCTGTACTTATCAGTTGTAAGGCTATATCGGTACCTAAGATTACTAAGGATATTAATTCTCAAGAAATGAGAAGAAAGAATTTTAAGAAGCTCAGTTAGTTGTGGTATGGAAAAAACTAAGTAAAACTAAAAAAGATGCGGAACTTGAAAGCTTCAAAGGAATCAAAACATCGTCCACCATGGTGAGGTCTTGATTCACTTGGGGTCTGGTAGAGCATGTTTCGTGTGGAATTTCGATGTTCAATCATGTAGCCATGTGTGAACAAAACAGTGGTAAAACTAAAAGTACTACAGCTCAGTTTTGGTTAATTATGGTCATTGTAACTTGGCGGATGGATCCCATAGTAGCAATTCCTTCCGATTGTCATAGTACGCTATGTCGATGTTTCCAATTTGATCCTATTTAGATGGAAGTTAAGAATAGATGAAGTTCAATCCTATAATTCAGAAAAGACGAAATTTTCTTCCTGATATATTCTGCATCATGTTATTATTTAAATCATTGCAAATAGTGAGCACGAGACTGAATAAAGTACAGCCAAAAATAGTTATGAACAATCAAGAAGCACTCAAATTAGAACTCGAGAAATTCCTCATAAGTCGGTGACATATAATAGTATAAATAAAGTGAATGTGTGAAAAGTTATGAAAATTTCCAAAATTCAAAGTTTTTTTTCCTTTTTAAATTTACTTTTGATCACTTCTGGTAGTCGGACATTGTTTGGCCGGGGAAAATTCACAGAAGAAAAAGATAAGGGTAGAGAGAAGATTTATTTGGGAACGAAATAAAACCAAAACCAATTAATTTTAATGAAATAAAAAACTGTGAAGAAGAAATCCAAGAAAGAGATACAATAAAAACAAACTTTTCCATATTATTAATGATTTTACGTGAGGCATCCATTGTTATCTCAACTTCCGAGCTAGCAGCCGTCATTATTGAACAATTTGCATTCCAACTCCGCTTTACCGCTCAATTCCAATCCTTAACTAACACTAGTTATATTTTTTCCAGAATATGCTATAAAACGAAGATGAAAGCGCTTTCATTAATTTATGCAACTTGCTCAAACAATCAGTTGATACTCGAAGATTTTTGACGAATTGTATGAAATGATACAAAACAATAATGGGAAATATCTCATTTCATTTCGAAAACACATATCTCTTAATAGAATAATAATTGAAATAGAAATAATCAAAAAATTCAAATTTCACCCGGCAAAAGGATACTGCAAAAACGGTTACCGTTTCAAAATGATCTTTAACAATGTCCGACTAAATCAACTAATCTCTCCATCAGATTTTTGATACCAACAAATTGCTTCTCGAAGGTTTATTTCAAAATTTACCATTTAATCTTCCACCCTTTGAATCCTCCCTAATAATACACTAATGATAAATTTCCTCACCATTTGTGTTTACTCTGTAAAGATGTTTATTTATAAAAATTTATGAATGTTTCGACAGAGTGAAAACAAAATGAATGACTGAACGATTGCAATTTAAAAAGGGTGTTACCGCTACCGTTCAAACTCATCCTCTGAATAATATGGAATACCTAAAGTTTCTGAAAGTACTTTGGTACCACCCGTATATTCCATCATTTGTTTTCACCTAAATTCATCAATTGTATCTTACAAAATCACATGTGACGCATGCTAAAAGCTAGACTAAAATGGAAACAAGAAAATTACAGAATTTAAATGGGGGATGTAATCGATATATATGAAATCTGGCATTACATGCATTATTACGATATTAAAGCAGCAACGGACCTTCCACCTGTCCCACTCCACACAACGACCGTTATTGCCATTGTATTCTATCGATCTATTCACAAACACAAGAGATAAAAGGCGAGAATTTATGTTACAGATGAAATGAATTCAGTGAAGGAATCAAATTTTTTAACGAGCAAAAACCTACTTCTCGACTTCCTCATATAAAGTATTGATTTCATGTGTGCATGAAAATTTACATATCGATTTTTTTATGTGGAAATATGATTGTTTGTAATCAGCATTATCAATTTGTTCCAAGCGGTTTATACTTCCCCAATCTATTCAAAGTTTCATGTTACATTTATTCAATTAATAAAATAATTTTTAATGGCACATTAAAATGGTTTCATAACTTTAACCTATCAGGTAATGTGCAATTGGTTAGTTTACTTATTGCTTATGAAATGGAATATTTCACATGACGTCATTAAGTAAAAATGCTTTTGTACTACTGAAATGTAGTGAAAATTGGAGTAAACTGAGCTAAGCAAAGTTTAGTCTTTACGAAAGCTTTACAATATGGTAAAAGTGTGTGTTATAAATTTTTGTAAAGGTAAATTTTTTAAGCTGTGAGTTGATAGAATTTGCTGTACAACCTGAAAAGCTATTTTCATATTTATGCGGACAATTAATTTGGTGATATATTTGTGAATTAAATTGAAATTGGAGTATCAAAAAGATGACTCAGCAAAACAGTCCACTGCTATATGCTGCGGAATGGTATAACCTAAAATTTGAATCTTCACTTCTCGTATTATATCGAATACTGATAATTTTTCTTCACATCAGAAAATAATACGTCTATTACTTAATCATGGAAGGAAATTCTAAAAAGACAATCAATAAATCGAAAACGAAATTATATTACTTGCTGTGAAAAATTATCGCAATTGCCACAGTGTCTCAAAATATCTTACAGTGTGATCCACAAAGTTATGTCCATTAAGTTTCATGTAAGTGATGAAAAATTGTCCACTACCTGCTATTAACTCTGAAAATACTTCCATTTCATAAAATTTCAGCTTAATAAATACAGAGCAAGTAATAAACATACATGTTCGTTTCAAATTCAAAAATGGAGAAATTAGACATTGTCAACATGTCTGCTTATTAGATTCTTTAACAGCAATTTTGCTTTTAACAACCTTATCTGATTGTTTACTTTCACAAAACCTTCAGAATGCTGCTTTTTAAGCAGTGATTTCAGAATCTTTGATGACGTTAGAAAGAGAATGAGAAAATTCAAGCGGAAGCAACAAAACTCGTGCACACTTGGCTAGCATAAATTAGCGCTGAAGTATATTTCTTTCCACAACAAGTTATCGACAGTATTCTGATTTTAAGAAATCAAAATTTCGTTGCTACTAGGAGTTTCCCAAAAGTCTACGTTTGTTAAAGATTCTACCGTTCCGGTCTGCCGTGAAGGACAGCTTACTATAAGAAACCAAATAGTGTCAATCAAATCAAATACAGAAACAAGTATCTGATTGAGGATGTATTCGGATTATCGTTCATTAATCCGTTTAAATCAATAACAGATGAAAATTAATATCAAATATTCTTCTTTCGGCAAATCAGTAAGGAGTGGTAGACTGTTGAATTTGTTATGCTTTTATCTTATCCATTTGGCGATT